AGAGCTGATAGCATGGTTGTAAATCCACAGTGTCACTTGTTCCAACATGAAACCAATTTTTTTTTTTTAGCTCTGGCCTGGGGAGCTGTGGGTGTACTTGTTTTCATTAGTTTAGAAACTCCTGACCAATAAGTGAGCGAACAAACCTTTTCTCTGTCTTTTCTCTGAAACAACAACAAAAAAACAACCTAAAACAAAAAAAATAAAAATTTGTTTTCATGGTTTATTTTCATGGTTTCAGTAACCCCTTAATTTCTCAGGCAAATTTGATAGAAAATTAGGCTAAAATTAGAATTAGAGGAGAATAATCATGAAATGAAAATGATCAATTATGGCAGTTAAAATGCTGATGTTTGACCTTCTCTAGAGGCCTAGAAGTGCCAGTGCTGTGATTAGTTTTTCCCACAGTGAGTTTTACAAACGAATTTACCTCTGTTGTGTTTTTGGTAGACTAAATATTTTAGGATATACAGTGAAACAAAACAGCTTACTAAGCAGTGTGTTCTGGGAATTGTTATGGGCAATTTCATATTTTTATATGTGTACTTCCTGTTGCATTTAGACTTGCTGACATGTAATACAGTACCCCAACTCCCGCTCTCAATACTTTGTCTTCAGAACAACTTTTTTTTGAGTTTGCAACCCTAAACACACCTGCAGCTGGTTTATTTTTGCATTTGATATTCAGTGTTTACCTTACTCTATTTTTGTCATTTGGATGTGTGAAAATAACAGAACAGAAAATTATGCTGTGCAGCTGCTATAACTCATTTGTGCCATGAAGACATTCTCCACAGTCCCATGGTGCATGTGCTATAAGGCAAAAGACCTAATTAATACAGAAAATAATTGTTCTTTCTTTCCTGATGTCCAGCGGCCTTCATTTCTTCTCCAAAATATACAGTAACTTTACAACAGAAATGAATCATGGAAAGGACGTAAACATAAAAGCACTGATGATACAACATTGTGTTTTAAAATTCCACAGTACATAACTCAAAAACAAGCCAGTGTAAGTAAATATCCAAATATTATAGCCTATTTTATATCAATCAGACACATCTATGCCCATTTCCCAGACAGATACAGGATGGAGGCATCCTCTTTGTTGCTATCCACACCTGTCATCTGGGAGGGTTGCAATCCCAAGGTGGCCAGCAGCCTGCAATACCATCAGTCATGCTGGCTAGCATGGAGCTGGAGGCCCTCACTTCTGTTGGTCATACTGTACCCCTCAGTAAGTTCATGCATTTATGTCAAAACAAGGGCGTGTGTGCATGTCTGCACCATCGACAGCCTGGCCCTGTCCAAAAGTAATAAAATGGTCCTGCCCAGAATTCCCTGTTTCCCCATCTTTGATCTTCACGTTATAATAATAATAGTAATAATAATAATAATAATAATAACAAAATCAAAAGACAATGTGAAGACAATGTGACAAAGTGAAAGGGGTGGCTCATAGGGATAAAATAAAAATCACACAAATCCGCAGTTTCTCTCGACTTTACAGGACTGTATCGTGAGTTTCACCTCTTTATTTATCTGTCTGGTCCACAACTTCACTGTTCTGGCTCACTCTCACCGCTGTCACACCATCATGCCACCCCTCATGCCGCAGTAGCAGCTGTTTTTAAAGAAAAAGCTGTAAAATGCCACTGTGCTGTACCTGCTCAGCGACAAACAGCACACAGACACAGTTAAAGACCAGCTGGTGAACAAGAAAGTTTGACTCACATTTGCCGAGACGAAACAAACCCAGCTCCAAATGAATGATGATGTTTCTCTGTAGCTCTTGAACTCCTGAATGTTTAGTCATAATTATCAACTAAAAAGGTGAAGATATGACAAAGTTGTGTTTACAATTTGTTTCTGCGGCTCCCAAGTGGCCAAAAATGTTCTTATCTTATGAAGAAAGGAAGTGTACTTCCCAAAACTGTCAGGGACCTTGACTTCTACTTTTAGAAAACCTGCCAGGACTGAACCCCAACCTGTCAAGGGCAAGAAAAGGTCGCTCTGCAGTTTTGCCTCAGTACCGTAGTTTCTGAGCCAGGAAAAACCCTGTAAGTGGCCTATAACATTAAATGCAAATTTGACAATGCCATTGTGCAGAGAGGAGTGGGTGAGCCTATAGAGTGTGGACAAGGGGCTCATTTGATTGCTGCACTATGTCTTTCTCTTTAAAGACATAATGTATACCTAAATGTAGAGGAATGTCAATGGTTGACCTTGGCTGAGCACTTGAAATACATCAGTGATAAATACTACATTGTGTTTGGCTGGTGAACCATGTCATTGCTGTTGAATGCTATAATTTAGCTTATTATTTAATCATCATAGTGCTACTTCACTAGCTGTGTGACAGCTATGGCAGCACTATCTGCAGCTACATGGATGTTTTGGGCTGCATGTAGAAAGATAAATAAGCTACTATCCAACAAGACGACCTACAGGTAAGAAACTCTGAGACTCTCTCATGGTGGGCATATCATTTTAGAGTAACTACCAAATTAGGCCAACTCTGAATAATTCAAATTAATCTTCTTAATCAAGTATTATCTTGAAACGCCTCCTAACTTTAAAGAAGAGATTTAAGGGGATTTCATAAGCCATCGCCAATGACTGGTGACCTAATTCAGTTCTCTTTAAAAATCCACTTTACTTGTGGACCTACAGCGCATGTATTCATGATTGCCTGGTAATTTCATTTAGAAAAATGTCAGTGTTGACATGTTCAGGCAAGTTTGTATTAGTGCCCTAATTAGTTTAAAGAGCACTCCACTGATTTAGCTGCCCTGTCGGAGTCGGAGTCACAACATACAGAGAAATAAGCATCAAAATCGATAAAGCACATACAAAATTTTTCATCCCACACATTTTTTTTTTTTTAATCAAAATCTGTGGCTTACATTACCCCCAATTCGACCCGGCCTCTGACAGATTGATAAGAGATTCAGGTGTGTTATGATAGTTGCGGCTAGTTGAGGGATGGTTAACTCGCTTCTTTCTATCTCCACACACCAGACTTGATGTTCCCCTTTAACAATGCAATTAACTTTCCAACAATTACTTTAATTAACTCAAAATCAAGACACATTCATGGATTCTAAGTTTGTGTTGATGTATATTTTTTGTTCATTCATTCATTCATTAGTCGTACTGCTTACCTGGGCGGGCTGGAGCCTTTGGACTGTGGGAGGAAGCCGGAGTACCTGGAGAAAACCCACGCAGGCATGAGGAGAACATGCAAACTCCACACAGTAGGACCCCAGTCGGCCAGCAGGTTCGAACCCTTGTTGTGAGGCCGCAGCGCGAACCACTGCACGGCCGCGGCATTCTTTCGTTTTTAACAAATCCATAAAAAAAAGGCTAAAAAAGTCATGGCTATCAAGGTTACACAAGTGCACCCAGTCAACCTGCATGAAGTGCCACATGAACACAGTCCAACAGTTATGATAAATAGATAATATCAGTTCTATATTCATGATTGATTTGGATTGAATTATCTAACGGGTGTAGTCTGACTGTGAAGTTCACTAGATGATGTATGACCGAGCTGTCACTGGAGAAACTGATTTGTGGTGAAGTCAACACAGCAGCATCCCTCTGAGTAGGACATAAAACTGCTGGTCAGGGCGGCTAAATGCATCAAGGTCATCATAAGATGGATCCATGTGGTTCAGTGAATAAAATAATTCACCACACTTCATAGGCTGATGTACAGTACATCACATTACTGCTGTGGTTGAAAAAGACTTTAATTCAGTGCCTGGGAGAAACAGTACAGCACATTTTGTTATAAAAGTGGATATCCACAGGTTCAGTCAAGACATCAGTAGCACTAAGGCCAGGTTAGTCTCTGAAATTCAATGCAAGGTTACTGCAAAAACACTGCCTCCTTAACATACTGGTTTTTCCTGTCCCTATCACCCGCGACAGCAATCAGTCCAACAAAGATTAGCAGCAAACTAATCATTTCCAGCTTACTCACTGGTTTTCTGGTTTTTATAAAGTGGTATAAGGGAAAATAATCATTTTAGATTCAAAAGGCTCATCTTGCCCTCTGGATGTGGGATTATTCATTACAGTAATGTCTGTATCCAACAAGATCATTTAAATTTGGGTTGAAGTAAAAGCATCTGAAGGAGTAAAAACCACTGTAACATTTACATATTGGTAGAATAATGTGTAGAAAAGACGTGGTAGACTACATGAGCTTATTGTGAAAAGCAGTCCAGGTTGTGTAATAAGGCACAGTTTCTGATCAGAAGCTCTTTTGAAAAAGAATTAAATGTTCTGTGCTGTGTAGACTATAATTGAGGGTATTTAGCTTTTTTTTTTTTTTAATTTTTCCTAATCATTTTTTGTTCTTACATAACTTCATTTAAAAATAAATATCTATTATCTTCTTTAAATTTAAAATAGTCCTTAAAAGTTCGCTGTACCCCATCATAACCCACAATTCTAAAATCAGATTGTAAAAAATGTGGAAATGATCCATACCTAAAATAAAAAAAAATAAAATAAAATAACAGGATGGATATAGCATTTTTAAAAACAGTTCATAAGGTAAAACATTGATAACGTCAAAAAAAAAAAGCAAAACAAAACAAAAAACAAAACAAAAAAAGAACACAAACAACAAACATGTAATATACAGAATTTTAAAAAATGGATACAATTTGAGAACGCATTCAGCTTCTCCGCTGTTGTTCCACCCCTTGAAGAAAATATGTGCCAATGCCCCCAAGAAAAAGGACCAACACCCCTCTGTTCGACCCATCTCTTTGGCGTTTATGGAGGGGAGGAGCAGACGATGCAAAGCGTCTCTGCCAGGCAAAGAGCCACAGGGCCAGTTCACTGGACGCTGCATGTTCACAAGGCGCGTTATCAGGGAATTTTAAAAAAAACATGTCTGCTTGGACACTAAAACTGTGTTTAACTAGGGCCCAGAACAAAAAAAAAAAAAAAAAAAAAAAAAAAAAAAAAAAAAAGAAAAAAGAGGACGGTGGACTTATTTTTTGGAGTGCGTTATGAGGGCGTTCTCGATGCAGAGGACGATGTAGGAGCCGGAGCAGCTACTGGAGGTTTGCTGCAGGACGTGGCCACTCTGTAGCGATGATGCCAGACCAGTCACAGCGCGGTCGCCTGCTCGCCATGTTTCACAGTAGTGGTCTGTTTGCCGGTGGCCTTTGTTGTTTGATCCATGCCAGACCATTTTCTCTGGCCTGTGGCAAGGTACAAAACAAGCACACAGGTCAGAATATACATACACTGTACATTATATACACACGTACTTCTACAAATACAAAACCAACTGAATGTACAAACTGTAACTGCAGATTAACTTAACCTACGCTACTACACCTACAACAGCTACATGTTAGTGCACAGGATGCTGTACTGATCTTTCTCACCATGCGCTGTCCCTGAGGATATCTCTGCCATCAAAGGAGTAGATTGGTACATTCTCCCTCATTTTGCTTGCATTGTCACCAAAGATAGACTCCCAGCTGCTGAACAACACTTGGTCCTGAAAAGAGGGAAAAATATAATGTTCAAAATTTTATTTTTCTCCTTCATACATTGTTCATCGTAAGGAGCAGCAAGATACACACTACATATACACTCTAAACATTTCCAGGAAACCTTTTAAATAAAAGTAGTCAGAGCTACAGCTGGACCTCTGAAAATTGCACATTGCACATCTTCACTTTTGGGTGTAGTGTAAACACAGCTACACCCACTGTCTGTTTTGGAGTATATCTCCGATTCCCGAGCAGCAGTATCTCACCTTGAGGTTCAAGATGGGGAAGCTGTCCCTGTCCGACCTGCGGACGATGGTGTAGAGGTCTTGAAGCTTAGAGGACAGGAAAGCTCTAAAGGTTCCCTTCAGGCCCACAGCTCGAGCCTGCTGGAAGCACAGGAAGTCTGCCCCGCGGATCCCTCGCATGTTACCAGTCTGAGGGGCGTTCAAGGCGATGAGGTGCAGCTGTTGAAGACAGGTTTATGTTAGAACAGCAGCCTTTCTTTGACCTGCTCTTGCGACACATCAGTATGAATTGTTTTAATAAACGTAATAAAGTTTGTTTCGTTACATCACATCAGTCACATCAGGATATGACCCTTCTTCTGTAGAAAATACCAGATGTAAAAATTCAGTTCCAGGAAAACATGACTAATGTTAAAGACAACATGAGCTATCAGTGACTATTCTGACTGAAGCTGCCTCTCCTCCCACACTCCCCTCTCCATCTACCCCCTCATAGCCATGTGTCCAATCAGTGTACTCACTTTACTACATTCTTCTCAGAGCAGGAAAGAAAGTGTGTGTTCCTTATACACAGAATAATGACAACAAGAGCGGGAGCAGATTCCCTCCCCAATAAGTTCAAGGCTGCTTCACTGTCACAAATCTTTCTGGGGGATTTTGCTCCTTCTTTTGCTGAATTTTACCCAGTTTGTTCAATTTTTTTCAGAGACCACTCCCAAATCACTTATAACCTTCCTGTCAGATAGATAGACAGACTACATTCTCATCATCATCATCATCATCATCATCATCATCATCATCATCATCATCATCACTGTTTTTAAGGGTGCTGCACTGCTCTCTCCTCCTCCCCCCACCACCAAGTGCATTATCCCATCAACTAAAACGCCTCTTAATAATCACTCACTTATTGAATGTGAAATGTTAAGTACTTGAGCCTCAGGGTTTAGACTAAAGTATCCTGCATTAAAGTAAACTATCCTTCATAAAGAAGTAATTCATGTTCTCCTGGTTTGGCTCTACTCACTCCTGATGCTGATGTGCCCACGTGGACACCGGGCTGTGGGACAGGTGGGCTGGGTCGTCTCTGTGGAGTGACAGGGTATCTGTTCTCAGTCTGCTGGGTGGCTAATCTTCCGTCCGTCTGACCTGTGTGTCTGGGGTCTGGGAACCTGGGATCATACTGTGGGGGGTATCTGGGGTCTACAGGTGGGTGTGGGGGGGGCTCAATGGGGCGTATGGCAGAACCACCCTGGGAGTAATGGCCAGCTCCGTTGTTGCGGGACTGGTCCTGGGACTGGGGGTACAGGATCACAGGGGGAGGCTGGACCTCCGCCACCTCGTTCTCCTGTAATGAAAAACAAAGATTGAAAAATCATGAAACAGTCAAAATATCTTTATTCTATTTTGTTGTTTTGTTGAGTTTAACTCACCAGATCTCTGAAGAAGGGCCTGTACTCTCCGAGCTGAGAAAATACAAAGCAAATAAATACTGACATCTCAACTCACAATGAATTAATCTCCTGATCTGAATATATGTGTATATTAACATTAAATCAAATGCCTGTATTGAAATAAACACATAACTTAAACAAAGCTTTTGACACAAGTAAAGATATTTTACAATAAACTGCTGAACAATAGTTGTTAAACAGTAACAGTAAATTCTAGGCAGTAAGTGTCAGTAAAATCAAATTTCAAATAACTATAAATAAAGACACATTAAATAAAACAAGTAAATATCTGCATATAATCCTGCTGAAACATTTATTACTGGTTAATTTAGATGTGTCTTTTTGCACATCTACAAAAAATACCAATATTTCTGTAAAAATAAAACAAAAACAATATTAGCATCCTGATGTATTAGTTGGTACGTGTTAGACTAGTTTTATAAAGCGGGGATATGGCAGCAGTGGTCTAAACTTCTTTTTCACCTAGTGGACAAAAATCTGTAGAGCAGCAGCTTTAAAGTCTATAAACTGTATCAAAGCAATGTGGTATGGTCCATAGTATTAAAGCCTGTTTAAAAGTTCCATAAGTGAAAAGTAGATTGCTGTACCATGACTTGCCGCAGTCCATCTCGTACTCTTAAGTAGAGGTCTGCTTTGTCGATGATGTAGATGAGGCTGCCCTCTGCCTGGCGTCTGGCAGAAGCAATCATTGTCTCATACGACCTCAGAACTGTAACCTGTGGAAAACAAATATACAGGATATTAAGTGTCTGGTAGGAATGACAGGAATAATTAAGAAATGGGTGCCATTTTCTATCCAATACACAGACTGATCATTATGAATTATGAGTATGTGATGGGAACTGTCTGCTGAATACTCACAGTGAGTATTCCAGGTTAGTAGGGCAATTATTAAAATACAGTGATGGTACTTACACCAGAGGTGAGACCAGGAGTTCCAGGTGGGCCAGGAGGACCAGGAGGTCCAGGGACACTGACGGCTTCATATTAAAACAAAAGCTTGTTAATGATTTGGCTTGTTAAAAGCTCCAGTGAACTTAGTGCAGCAGCAGTAGATAGTAGCTTAAGGTCACCTCCACACTAGCTGTAGGAGGGACAGCATGACTCTTCAGAACTTTACAAGCTGTATTTCATTCATCCTTCAAAAGCTCTAACAGTGTCCTCAGGAGCGTGTAATGTATTCAAACTTACGGTGATTGGGCCTGTATGCTCCAGGAAGAGAGCCTGGAGCTCCTGGAGGTCCAGGTGGTCCTGGAGGACCGGGGCGTCCATCGTAACCAATGCCTGGTGGCCCTGGTGGTCCCTGGGGTCCAGCAGGGCCCATTATGGAATCTCCTTTTGGACCCTGACATTAAAGAGAAAACTCTACATTACTGGGACATTGCAGACACTTTTAACATGATCTGCACTTTACAACAAACAACTTTTTGTACTTCATATACTTATTATACACATGTGCAACAGAAGTCCTGTGCTTCTTGACAAACTGGGGTTTGATGGACATTTTACTCTCAGAACTCACTGGCAGGCCTGGTTTGCCATGAGGCCCTGGGGGGCCTTGAACTCCTCCAAAACGTGGATCATAATATCCACCACCAGGCTCTCCCTTTTCTCCCTTCACGCCTGGATCTCCACTCTCTCCCTTCAGTTCATTCTGTTGGAAACAGTTGAACATTATGATGAGTTTTTCTTACAGTTCATCCAGCATACTCATAAAACTGACCGGTTGTGTAGCAAGAAGCTGCTTTACCTTGAATGTGTAAATATCAAAATTAGCTGTTCCTACAGAAAAAAAACACAACAAAGACATTTTAGTAATTAAGCACTAATAGTTCACTTCAAAGCAGTCCTGCAGTGCAGTGGATGTGTATGTAATAATGGTAGTGTGTGTAAGTCCAGGACGTACCTGGGATTCCTGGAAGCCCTCGGTCACCACGCTCTCCTTTCTCCCCTTTAACTACTGTAACAAAACACAAGATTTAACACTGCAAAGTTGGACACAGTATCACACAGGACGTGTATATGACACTGGCACTGCAAAACTGTGACACTCTGATTCATTGATAGGGATGCCAGCTATGTTTTATTAGTTCATTCTCCAGATCTGGTAAGACTTGACAGCTTAATCTCTTGACAATACAGTGCATATCCCCACCAGGCTGAGGCAGCTGGATCAGACTGAAATTAAGATTGAACTGTTTATCTCTGCAGACACTTTAAACCTTTTCTAAATCTCTCTTCCCTCACTGCCACGTTGACTTAACTTCTCTGTTCTGAGCCCTCTCTGTCTTACAGTCTTATGTATGTGGGGCTAAAACAACAAACTGTGTGTTGGGAGGTCATACCTGGGTAATTCCTTGAAGTTTCATCATAGCGCTAAGAACAGAAAGAAAAAAAATGATCAATGACACACAGCAACAATAGAGAAAAAGATCTGTCTAAGGTTTGAGTTACATTATGCAATAAGGAACCGACTCACTATTTTCACCAGCCAGCAAAACTTTAACAGCAGAGCAAACAGACGGGATAATGGCTGACTGTCTGTCTGACTGACTGAAATATGGTTTAGTTCTCTGCCAACAGATGGTACATGACAGACATTAACTTTGTGGTACAATCTACAAGTAACTCTAACTGGTTTCCATAGAAATGTCTGGATCGAGGTACAAGGTTTGGGAACTTGTGTACTCACATTGAAGCGATCTAAAGGAATGGCTGGCCCGGGGGATCCGGGTGGTCCGGGTGGTCCTGGTGGGCCAGGCACTCCCTAATGAAAACAAAGTTATTCACTCTTTGTCATTTTTTGATGTGTGGATACAAAATGACTCATTAGGCATTGGTTAGACATCATCAGTAACTTAAGACAGTCGTTTACAGCTTTGATTCAGATCAAGGATGCTCATTAGAAATGGTATATATCTACATACATGTAAGTGTCTATCAACATTTAACACAGTGGCTTTTTTTATTCAAAAATATAAGTATTTATATAGTAGAGCGGAACAGCTGACATTTGTTGAATTAAACAGTAGCTATGTTTCTGAAAACCCAAGACGGTACAACACTAGAACTCTGTAAATAATGTCTTCAAAATATAAGCAGCTACTGAATACCACTTGAAAAGAGATCTCAGTGAGGCTTTACTGGTTCAAAGAAAGTTAATTGAAAGAAAATAAGCTAACAAGCTAGCTATCCAGGCAAGACTCTCTTCCTTTCAATAAATAAGTGTATTTCATGACAACTTTTTGAGGCATCTGAGGCTGTGGCCTCATTACACTCTGAGATTGCCTGGGGGCTGGACAAGATGATATCAAACTGTCTTTACTTAACTTCTGCAACTGCCAAGTCAGCCTACTGTAGTTACTGGTAATGATATTAATACTTACTGGGTAGCCATAGCCAGCGCCACCTCCTGACTCTCCTTTCTCACCCTTGTATCCATTTACACCAGGGCGACCCTGAGGGAGAAACTCATTCATTTTTTTTTCCATACGTGGAAAAACTGAAACAATCAGGTTAAAATGTAATTATTCTAATGTAACGATACACACTAGGTCAGCAACATGTACATGGTACTAACAGTGGCTTCAGAAAGTATTCAGATCCCTTCACTTTATCATGTTTTAGACCTTATTGGAAATTGATCAAATTGCCATTTTGCCCATCAATCTATACTAAATATCCCATAATGACACCATGAAACATAAACATGACATGATTTTATTTTTTTTGGCAAATGCATTAAATATCCCATTTTATTGGGTAAGACTCTACAAACTTTTCACACCTGGATTGAGCCATTGAGTCATCAGACTGGACGGGAAGCATCTAAACTGTCATCTATGGGGTTTAAGTCTGGACTTTGGTTGGGCCACTCAAGGACAGTCACAGACTTGTCCCAATGTCACTCCAGCATCGCCTTGGCTATGTGCTTCAGGTCAGTGTCATGCTGAAAGGTGAAGCATTGCTGCAGTCTCAGGTCATGTGCACTCTGGAGCAGGTTTTCTTTTAGGACCTCTCTGTATTTGGCTGCTTTCATCCTTCTCTTGGTCCCTGCCACTAAGACACACCCCCGGAGCATGACGCTGCCACCACCAGGCTTCATCTTAGGGATGGTATTAGATAGGCGATGAGGAATATCTGGCGTTCATCAGACAAGAGTTCGAAGTTCTCCAGTTTTTGCCTGTTTTTGAGAATCTTTTTCCTCGTGCTGTCAGAGTCCTTTAAATGCTGTTTGGCAAACTCCACCTCTCTACCATAAAGGCGTGATTGATGGAGAGCTGCTGCGAGGGTCGTCTGTCTGCAGAGGACCTCTGAAGCTCCGCTAGAATGACTGCTGGGTTCTTGGTCACCTGCTTGGCCAACGACCTTCATGCCTGGTTACCCAGTTCTAGGGAGAGGCCTGGTTACAAACTTCTTCCTTTTTCTCAATTATTGAGGCCGCTGTGCTCCTGGGAACACTCACAGCTTTGGAAATGGTTTTATACCCCTGCTCTGACCTCTGTCTACAGAGAGTTCCTTGGACGTCATGGCTTGGTTTTTGTCCTGACATGCAGTCTGAATTGTTGGACGGTATATACACAGGTGTGTCCAATCATTTCAATTAGCTGGTGGAATCTAGTTCTAGACACGTCTCAATCATAGTTGAAGCAAACAGGAGGCACCTGACCACCGTTTGGAGCCAGGGCAAAGGGTCTGTATATACTGTAAATGAGAGATCTCAGTTTTTAATTCTTTAATAAATTTACACAAAATTATAAAAACATGTTTTCACTTTGTCATTATGGGTTACTGAGTGTACATACAACAATTAATTTGACAACACAATAAAGTGTGTGAACAATGAAAGGGTCTGAATACTTTCTGAAGTCACTGTATTGTAAACACACAGTAGAAATAGAAATATTTAAAAAATATATATACATACACCATCATAAGACACCAAGAAAGGGGTACTTACAGGTCGTCCAGGCATTCCAATTTCACCCTTTAATCCAGGAGGCCCGTACTGGCCCTACAACAATCAATCATGAAATATAAGAAAATGTGAGCTGACTGGAGAATGAAGTGGAAAAAATAAAAAAAATTATATATTATATTTTAATTTGAAACAGTTTTGGTACATTAGCTTGAATATCTTAGATCGAAATGCTCAAACACTTACAGGGGGTCCGACAGGCCCAGAGGGTCCTCTGTCTCCCTACAAGCATGGTAAAAGCAAATTAGTTTCAACATCAAAAGTACAACCGTAACCCAGTACACAAAAGGCTTGAAAACAGGCAATCAACAGAGCACACACAGGATCAAAGCAGGAAACATGAGAAGTAGCAACATATGCTGTAGAGGAGAGGTATGTGAGTTCATTTGTATGCACAGTATGTTTATTATGTGTGTGAGAACATCAGACGACGTCAGACAGACTCACCTTCAGACCTGTTAACCCTTCCAGAGACAGAAGATTTCCATCAGGTCCGATTACTAAGCCTGGCTCTCCTTTCTCACCCTGAACACAGAGCAGCAGAAAGAGACAACATGCACTCAATTACCGTGATGTCATAATGATGAGGAGGAGCTAAATTAATGGTTGAACAAACAAAATATCGAGACTTTACCCTCGGTCCGTAGCCAGGAGGGCCAGGGTCCCCTCTGTCACCCTTTGGTCCAATAGGACCCTGCAGGATGACAATAAATAAATATGACATTCATAAACTAACAAGTGGACAGTCGTTTGGCAGCTGATCAATCCAAGCCAACATGATGATCCGTCCTATTAGACTCTGTTTATACCGTGCAGCTTCTGAGTTGCTGAGAGGGCCATTGTTTAGATATTGAGTGTAGAGATCAGTGGATGAGATGTTGGGGGTTATTTGAGCGGATGCAGTGCCAAGACGGTACAACTGTAGTAGAGAAGCACCTGATGCTTGCCAAGGTCTATGGATGCTAAGCTGTACTGTTACATTATCTGGAGGCATCATGGGTATTTGAAAGAAATGGACTGAGTGTAAAGAGGAAATGTGAAGAAAAATATCACCACCAGCACCAAAAGTCAGCACACAGAATTTAAACCTGTAATTAAATAGAAATCTACCAATGAATCGATTCCTGTTAACAAGTGTTGTCTGTGCAGCCAAAGCCTGATACAACTTTTAGATTTCCTTCTGTTTGTGTTTGTTATAGTTACGTTCCAGGGGAAAACATCAGGGCCATAATGGAGAGTAGGAATGGTTACAGCGACCTATTCTCACATACATATGGGCAAAGTATTGTCTTAAAACAGACTTGAAAAATCCTGATCCTGTCCTTCTACATTCAAAGACTCTAATCTGCTTTATCTGGACAATGTGGATGTGGTTCAGTCAGTTTATTCTAACAGTGGGCTGACAACACAAATAAACACCCCAACACCTGTCGTCATGTTTTCATTGAAACGTTAAATATTTAAGTTGGTTGGTTTTGGTCTTTTCAGGGGAACTACTGACAATGTGGAAAATACAGAGTATCTGTAGAATAAAGAATAATGTTTGTATTTGACTTGTAAAAAAATAAATAAAAGCAGCAGGAAAAACAGGTCTGTATTTTTAATTATCACCTGCTGAGAATCAGACTTCAATTATGTATGTAGGTACACTTCACATTTATTGTTATAATAGGGGCAAGGTACATAAATTATGTAAGACAGGGAGACTTACAGGGAATCCAGCCTGACCAGGCAAACCAGGTCCTCCCTGTCGAGGAAAACAACACATTTTACATTCAGCTTCATTAGACTGGTGGTAAACTGGTTGTTTACAGATAAAAAAAAAGTAAAAAAAAAAATCCAAACCACTTATTCTGGTCTGAGCTTGTTGTAAAACATGTGAACAGTATAAATGAGTGTAACACAACTGACTTTATTAAGAAGTTAAAATGGAAACAGATGTTTATTTCTTGATTGTGGGTATGTTTCATAAAGGTCAGACAGTCATGACAACAATCCTGTGTTTCCTATGTTTCTTTCTAAGGATCGCACACTGATCAACACACGTAAGGACAGGTTAACTGTATGTTTCACCATGTGGTGTAAATCTTGTTTGTCTGTCATGTCTCACCTGACCGCCCACTCTACAATTACAAGTAGACAATCAGTGTTATAAGTGTTGTCCTACTACAATGCAAAACTTTCACTAGAGATGTCGTGCATCAGATCTGAACACATACCTGAGGCCCAACACTGCCGACGGCTCCATCAAACTGCAGAGGCACAATAAATCACATAATGAAGGAAATCAAGCTGTTATCACTATTATGAATAAAATTGCTCATGATTTGGATTTCAGTCTAGAAGGAACTGCCTGACACAAAGTGTTTATTTTGAATGTTGCTTATCTGTGCGTCTGCCACTCTGTTTGCCTATTTGTTACTTACGTTGCCAGATGTGGAGTAGATGATTTGTCCAGGTGGACCAGGTGGTCCAGGTGGACCTGGGAGTCCATTTCCATCTCGACCTGAGTCACCCTAAAACCCCACACACACACACACACACACACACACACACACACACACACACACACACACACACACACACACACACACACACAGCACAGCAAAAAGATAAATAACTTTCCCACTGAGAAATACATCCAAAACCAAACTTTATCTAATGTAACACAGTTTTGTGTTTTATAATGGCAGGAAATATATGAGATATGGATCAGCATCTTACTGACAGTTGATTTGTAGTGAATATAATGTATAGATAAAAAGATATTCAGAATTAAAAACGATATTCACCCTCTCTCCTTTGTCACCTCTGTCACCCTTTGGTCCCTGTAAAATTCAAGAATGAAACAAAAGAATAAATCAATTAACAATAAATCAAAAGAAATTAAAAATGTAAAATTCAATTCACGTTTACTAAAGCACATCAACATCTTGCCACAGTTGAATATGCGTGTTTTTTAAGTGTATTTAAATATCAAATGGGGGAAATATATTCCCTTCAGTTGTCACAAAAGGCATTAGAGATGCAAATTAAATATAAGATATTAACTTTATTGACTAACCTGATATCTGATATACTTCTTCAAAATATGTTTGATATATTGACAAAATAATCTTAACTCAAGGTCCACTTACTAAGGAGCTGCATCTCACGGTCTTCATCAGTGGATGGAGTTTACCCAGTTGTCATCACATGACCTAAGTATGGGTAAGAACTGAGCAATCTCCATGACAACTAAGCAAACTCCATCCACTGGTGAAGACAGTGATGTGTAATGGAAAGCCCTGGAAAATGCCAGTAAATGGACTTTGAGTTAAACAACTATTTCCAAGGTCAAGAATGAACGTTAATGCTTATATCAGGTATATCTTGTTAGAGATGATGCTAGCTGCATCATGTTAATGTCGGTGTGACTTTTTCCTTAAAAAAACAAAATAATAATCTTTTCATGTAGAATATAATCAATACTAAAGACTTCAGGAATCACCTATTGTGGCCACGAGTGTAAATGGTCCATAAACATAAAGATTTGAAAATGCTAAATATTTTCCTCTGAAAAGTGTCTGTGGGGTAACATAGGAAACCAAATCCTGTTACATCACACAGGTTTCAAACATCTAACACTATGTTAACACTATGACTGTTCAACCGCTATGAGACCTCTGGTATCCAGTGGTGCATGAAATATTCTATTTTTTGTCAGAATGACAGATGTAGAGGGAAATCTCTTTTTCACCTGAGGTCCAGGGAAGCCATCCAACCCTGGTCGCCCGTCCCTTCCTACAAGACCTTCAGTGCCCTTCTGACCCGGTATGCCAGGCAACCCAGGTTCACCCTGCAGAGCCACATTCAGGTTATACCATTGAAAAAAAAACAAACCTCAGTGAAACACATATAAGAACGTTATTGTAAAACTGCATTCTGACAGCAGGAATAGCACAAAGACCAAATAGTTTCACCTCTATCAGCACTTAACTTTACAATGCTCTTTAAAAAACATCATGTTCAGTTTCAAACTCAACACAGGACTGTCTGCATTAATATTATTTCAGCCGACGCTGAAAATCTGAATGACAATCCAAAGATAATCCATATTCAGAGAAGCAGCTGTGACTGCAAGGATGACAACTATGTTGTTACTGTTTAAGTTCCTTTTAGACAGTGTTTTTATATTAACACTGAATTTAATTACTACTTGTAATGTAAAGTGTTTGCTCGCACTTCTTGTCCCATTGAAAATCAACAACAAACTGTGGCTCCATGAAGCTTTCAGCTACTTTCTGCTCCTTGCTTTGCTTTTAGCAGTTCATATGGTCCAAACATGGATGTGCCCCAAACCAAAGCTGATACAGCAGCCTATAATGGTTTTGCAATGCTGTTGTTTCTGCTGGTTGAGCAGGCACACGGATGAATGTTTGCTAACACACGAAGTTGGGGATACATTCTTGCTGTGACTTTGTATGTCTGTCCCCTAGTGGTCAAAAGTCACATCATAGCACTTGTATCAAGAATATTTTCATATTACTACTTGATACAATCATTTTTGTTATTTTCATTTCGATTTGTGTGCTGGTGTTATCTTTGTCAAGATAATGCCAAGACCTTATTTAAACCTTGGGCTGAGTTATTTCTGATTACACACTCAATACAAGATCCTTTTTTGGTTCAACAGTTTACCATCAAAGTAGAGAAACTATGAGAGTCGGGAAGGGGTAAGAAGACTACTGGATTGCTGGAAAAATCCTTATTTACTTACTGGAAGTCCAGGTAAGCCAGGAGGACCCTGAAGAAACACAACATTTGTCTTGGTTATTTGCCAGCTCATGTGTTTTGCTCCTGTATTTACAACTTCCAACTAAAAATTGTTGGACAAGTTCCAGTTAAATATCATGTAAAACATAGAACCACATTATACATTTAATTACACTTAGTTATACATTTAATTATACATTTATGATGTTTTTATAAAAAAATGACACTGTGTAAGCCCATACGATTAAACTGTAATCAAAACACAGTAAAATGATTACACAGGTCTGCGGGCCATACCTGTCACCTGTTTACCTGGCTTTATATGTAATCAACCAAATGGCCAATAGGACTGAACAAACTTTCTTCAAAAACTGATTAACTAAGTAATACAAATAAGACTAAAGTGACTGATCATTTGAATTTAAAATGAAATTTAAATTAAAAATGTAACGTGCTGCTCTTTATGAATGTGAGGCCATCTGTGGGGATGAGCTCATGTCACAGATGTCTTACCCTGTTTCAAAATTCATAATAGTGCTGCCATAAGAAACCATTCCAAGTGGGAAAATGGGAAACACTGTTCTTACTTCCAGATATTTTTGTTCCTTTAAAGCTGCTGATCAGAGACTCACTCTGGTTTGTTATAGGGAGACTAAAACTATATTCAAGAGGAACTATTACTCATTTTAAACGTTGCCTTTAATGTTAAGAGAGAGATATTATCTTCCACAGGACCTTAAGTCTTACTATGCAGGACTGACCTGACTTCCTTCTGGTCCTCTGACGCCAGGAAATCCATTGGTGAAACCTCCACCAGAGCCCTCCATGTCATCCTTCAAACACCAACAAAGATTTTACAACAAACTCTTAAAAACTCTTTTTTTTTTCAGCCTTTTTTCTTGTAATTTGAGATTAAATTCTGATTAAACCTAAGATTCACTGATGTATATTTTTAACAAACTGATGTTGTAACTCAGCTTCACTTCTGTGTATCTGACACACACTGACTACACACTGACACACTCAAAGAGAACTTACAAATCCAACACGATAACTTGGTCCAGGAGGCCCGGGAGGTCCAGGTTGCCCAACTGGTCCAATGGGTCCAGGCAGACCAGCCAGTCCAGGCTCCCCTGCAGGTCCCGGTAAACCAGGGTTTCCTGAAGCTCCCTGCAGGATGGTAGGACAGAAGTAAAATCAGTGTTTAGAATAAATAAATAAAACCTAAAATAAAACCAAACACACATGTTTTATCTATAGTGAAGTGCATGTAAACATGTTAAGGTCATGTTTTGAGTGTCACCAGTGTCATGCAGCTTTTAGTTACCAGTACTAGTAAGTATTTGAAAGGACATTGGAAAACTGCAAAAACACCCATGCTCATTTCTCTGGGACCAAATTCAGATGTCACTAAATGTTAAATCAAACCATAGCCGGCACTCAGATTAAACTTTAAGTCAAGTCTGTAGCTGACAATATTTGACAAACATTTGCATATTGTTAGAAGACACAAATCCCCTTTGATAGCTGACGTGTACCTGCAGATGGGAAGGCTTAGAGTAGGAGGAGGATAAATAGTGAGGCAGCAGATTGGTGAGAAAAGAAAAGTAGGAGCTTGGCTGGAGAAATGAAAGGGAAAGTTTTAGAAATAGTTGGATGAATGTCATTCTAGTTGTTAAGTGGACACCATTACATATGTCTGGTATCCCAAAAGCACATGAATTTTTGACTTACACTTGAATTTATGTTCCTTCACAGGCTTTTTTCTAATGAAGTCTCCTCTACTACTGGTTACAACAAGGATCATTTGGATTGGTTGTGTTTTGGAGAATAGATCTAACTGTAAAGTGGCAGCTACTTCAGAGTAAAAAAAAAAAAAAAGAAAAAAGAAAAAAAGTAAACAAATTAAAGTCATAAATCCGCACCTTCTCTCCAACTGCTCCTGGAAGACCCAGCTCGCCTGAATCACCCTAAGGTAGGAAAAAGGACGTGTTATCAGATGAAATATGAATATAAATACAAAGAGGACGTGTGCTACTGACCACAATATATCATAGTTCTGTACCGCCTACAAATGTAGAGACAAGCTGTTTTTCCTCTTTCTCAGACAAGGCTATATGAGATCATTTTTTAACATTTAGCTCTTTAACACATCTGATTCCTTACAAGATTCAGCATTTGGGAGGTTTGTCTTCCAGCAGGAACATGGAGCCTACCTCTTAGCAATGATTCCTACAGTCATTACTTTTGATTCATGTTATTTTACCACCTGCTCATCAGCAGCTCCTGCTCATTTAGTGCTGTGTTCATCCCACATTACACAAAGGAAGAGGCAAATAACCAGACTATCAAAAGTCTCAGCAACAGGTTTTCCTGCCACCTCAAGTGCTTCTAATGTTACCTAAAGATTCAAATTGTGACATGAATTGTGTCACACAGAGTAATGGGACTAAACAACCGCCAACAACATCAGTCCCCAGGCTGGTTAACGGCCTGTGTGCCCATTGGAACTGAAGTGTGGCCGTTCACACACATATTGCAAATTATTATCAGGAACCATGACCCTGGAAAACAGTAGCAGGTGTGATAATCACAAGAAAGAAATAAAACGTGTATTATTTGTTTGGTAATAACAGTTTTGAACTAGTAAGTACAAGTCAAAACAAGTCTACTTTTATTTATTTATTTTTTTTAGCAAAAATGACATTTAATTTCAGTTTGACTTTAAACAGTTAAATGTCATTTCTACACAGAAGTTACAGGGTTGCTAAAAATTAGATTCTGGTATTTTTGGAGACGAAAACAAGGACATTACCTTTTCTCCCTTGGGACCAGGAGTTCCTGGGAGGCCATCAGTACCCGGTAAACCAGGCAAACCCTGGAGGTCAAATGATTTGGTTCAGGTGTACAGCAGTTGTTGATTTGGTTAGACTGTGCAATCTAATGTGCAGCTTAGGGAGTTATCGGTCCAGTGGTTTTGGGAGACAAGAATATTGACACTCACAGGTTGACCGGGTGCCCCGTCCTTTCCTGGAGGTCCTAATGCCCCAGAACTCACTGCTGGGCCAGTTGTAGAGGGACCAGGAAGCCCAGGTGGACCAGGGGGGCCTGGTGGCCCAGGCAGTCCCTACAACAAAAAACATACTGTATAATCAGTTTACTGTAATCCCTGATGTCTTTGCAGATCAAAGATCCGTAGCTGCATAAAAGATGAATGAAGCAGAAATAGAATCTTTCAACAACAATTCATGTTCTTCATGCCTCGATTTTGACAGTCAGGACACAAACTTATTACAGTCAGTGAAACCGGGGGCAGATCAGGCCAAAACATCATATCACAATCTTTTGTAAAGAAGTTGTCATTGTATCTTTCTGCCACTATGACGCTTCTTTTTGATGTTTGTCCGCTCACTGCTACTCTTTGCCCACAATACTGTCTTCTGTATAAAAACTGTGTCGCAACCAATCTCACTTGTTGCTTAGTTCATATGGAGTATTCGTTTGGACAGCGCAGTTATTTATTTATTTATGAGCTGCTATATGTAAGTACTTAAATTTAAAAGTTCAGTCGCTGCTGACCAGCTAGCCCCGGCTCGTCCTACCTTGGGTTTCTCATCCCACAGATGGACTGCAACTCCACTGTCTTTGAGTTAGCAGACTAGCTGTTTAACTGTTAACAATGGGCTGGGTAGCAGTGATTAAACCTTTTAAAAATTAAATATATCTAAACATAGCACCTTTTATGGACGTGATCTGTATGATTCATCTAAAAAGTAGATCATAGGCCAAAGTAAGATTATCCACAATATAAGATTATCAGATCTGAGTGTTTAAAGCAAACCAATTTCAAACAAAACTGTGAATGCTCCTCACCCGAATAGACTCCAAGTCAGGGAACCCTGATCCTTCCATGTCCACAAAGGTCTGAAATCAATCAGTTGAAATCAGTTTAATTACTCAACAAATGATTCACATAAGTAGGTGGTTTTCTGCTGAAATAGTGTCTAGATGTTATCAAGCATGTGACTGAGGCCAAGATTGACTCACAGATCTATATCCTGGTCCGGGAGGTCCAGGGAGTCCTGGGGGTCCCCTGGGGCCAGGTTGACCCTCTCCACGGTCTCCCTGCATGAACAAGACTCATTAAGACAAGATATGCTAATCCCACAACAGAGATTTAAACTCAGATTATTTCATGTTATTTCATAATACTTTATTCTACTTTTTTTTTTAAATGTTTTTCTGTAACTGAGCATCTTACCTTCTCTCCTTTGGTTCCTGGGTCACCTGGGGTCCCTGGGAAGCCTGGAGGTCCATCAGGACCCTGTGTTGAAGAAACCATAATGTTAGTGAACTAGAGACATCAGGGAGGTAAACAAAGAAAAGGTCTCTACTTTAACAACCCATCATCACACAGTGTTTTGACTGTTGATATGAGCCATTGATCAGTGTTCTTTGTATTGTGCAGGGCAAAAACAAACAAGCAAAAAAACAACTTACAGTTTTTCCATCCTCACCAGGATCACCCTGCGAGATGGAAATAAAAAATAAAATAAATGAATTACTGATATATAATACAGGTAAAATCAGCCGAAATAACATTGAACTTTATTTTCCAACTTTTAAAAAGAAAATGTTTGAAACTTTAGAGTGAAACAGTTTCTCAACACGTATACTACGACAAACATGGTAGATGTTGTTTCAACAAAAACAGCACAACTGTATTTAGTGTTGCCAAGTAAAAAATATATCTCCAGTCTACTAACTGGCTCTCCATCAGCTCCCGGTGGTCCCTGGGGGCCTGGGACACCTTGTGGTCCAGCTGGTCCCCGGGGTGCAGGGGCCCTTGAAACAACTGAGCCGTCATTGCCAACTGAAAATTCGGTTGCAGGCCCTGGAGGGCCAGGGGGGCCAGGGGGCCCAGGGAGGCCGGGATCACCCTTCTTTCCTTGATATCCAAAGCCTGCACTGCCCTGGAGATGAAGAAACATCAGAGTGAACTGAGACTTTGATTAGACAGGAGAAATTAAAAATTTAAGCTTCTCCATATCTGTCATTTCAAGGTGTAATATTTTTCTGAGCCATGTCTTCCTGGAGCTTTACCAGAACCCAACACACTGAGAAAAACACTACTGAAAATCCCCTACAGTACATTAATGTATTAACAGAGCTGTTCAAGTCAGGGATGAAATGGCAAGCTGTAAAACACCAGTATCACAGATCAGTCCACTGTTTCTACACAAAACCTGTGTCATCTAGAAAGGAAACGGGCCATGTTGATGAAGAAGAGTAAGTGACAAAGACAAAAGGTAATTATTTAATATTTAGTAACCTGTAAAACATCTTGTTAACTAAGCCTCAGAGACTCAAATCGAAGTCACCTCAAAAAAAGAGACCATCTGTAACGTACCTTAGTTCCCTTCTCCCCTGGTTCTCCCTGATAATTAAAAGAAGAAACAGCGAAGTCAGTGCCAACAGTTTTCATTGGCTGTTAGATTTCAACCCAAAACACAAAAAGACAGTGATACAAATATTCACAGACATATTTCACCTAAAATGCCTCAGTCATATTGAATGTATCCACTGTCATTAGAGGTAGCACCAGTGGAAATCAAATTCTGCTGAGTTACAGAACTGCATGCTCAAACGTTTGTTCTAAAATGTTTAATTTAATTAGTTAGTTAGTTACCTGTAATACCAGCCTGTTAAAGTATTTCTAACTGTACCCTGGTTAACTTCATCATCATCATCATCATCATCATCATCATTGTTGTTGTCATATACTTGAGCCTCAACATAACTCAGAATGTAACTCTTGATGGTCAGTGGAAATAAGTTATGTTTAACTATTGTATTTTTCTTGTGTCATACTTCAAATTTAACAGTTTTTGTTCCATGCCATTTACACTTTGTTTAAGTATTAGAAAACTATATATTCATAAAACATGATGCATATGCTTGAATTAAATTAGGACTTGTAGCTCCCTCTAGTGTTCATTTGGAACACTTCACCAAAGCTCATGTTACTCCATCCTCCGTGCACTCCACTCCAACTCAAACCACATATCACAAATGACTTGTCTGGTACATATATTCCATCCAAAAAAAAGATCCAAACCTTCTCTCCACGGGCGGCCCCCCGGGAACTGGAGCCAGAGCTTGATTCTCCCTTCGGCCCAATTGGACCCCTATCTCCTTTCTCTCCTCTATCCCCTTGGTCACCCTTCTCTCCTTTAGACCCAACTGCTCCTGGAAAACAACGACAAAGGACAGAGTCATTGATGCCCTCATGAAAAGACCTTTCAGAAATGATTAACGACTGTATCCCACATCCCAAACAACAAAAAAGGACATTTCCTGCGCCCACAAGAAGAGGAGAAAAGAGGAAAAGAAAATGACTTTTTGCTCGATGTAGCAAAAATCCCAGTGCACACGACTGCAATTTATAGGCCATGTCAAGGTTTCGAGGTGGTAATTGAGTACACCTTCCCACAACTGCATGCATCACCATCCTGATATTTATTTTCTGGTGTGACGCAAACTGACTTTGCACCCTTCCAACTGAATATGTCACTTTCAGTAGAGACCGCATGAAATGCAGTTCCCTTCTTCAGTTGTGTAGAAATCACCCATCTCCAACACTGCTGACATGCACAGCAAAATGACGTCCACTGCAGGTAGGCCTGTGCAATGCTTCAATTGAGTGGTTAGAATTAAGCAGTAGAAAAATGGATCCCATGCCTCTGAAGGGATAAATAAGCACAGAATTCACTGAATACATTTGAATGCTACACGTCATAGCATTAATAGCCTCAGCTAGTGTGCAATGCTAGTTCTTCCTGTTCCAATCCAAAACAAAAAAAAAATATTTCTTTATCCTTTTCCTAGAAACAGACATCCAGACCATGCAACATACACTGTTTTACATGCTTTAATATCCATGAGAAAATCACTTGCTTCCTCAGTTGAGCTCCTCTGTTTACTCTGTGGGTTTTCAGGGGATTACAGCCTGAACATCCTAATTTTTCACTTCTGCTGACCTACAGTATATACAAACATGTCCACCACCCTGTAAAGTAAATAAATTCATGCACTCTTATGCTTCTGTGCTTTAAAAATCACACATATACACGCAAGAAGCAGGCAGAACATAAATACAGAACAGAAAGGAGCAAAAAAAACGAAACAAAAAAAAAAAAAAACACAGGAGATCCGGATGCTTGTCTCTGTGTTTTGAACTCCCTGACCCACCTGGTGACCCAGGAAGTCCAGGCCTGGACTCAACAGAAACGTGCTGGGAGTCACTTGCTGAACACAAGGCAAAAGACAGTGTTAAATTAAGTCTCCACATTAAAAGTATTTTCAGTCAGTGACTTGAATTCTCAAGTACATGAGGTAAGCTATTCTTTTTTTATTTTGTTGTATTGTTGTCTTTATGTAATCACTACTGTAGTAACTTAATGAGGTACTGTAAACCATAAAGATACTGTGGCAGCAGAATACTGATTTCCACTGGTTTAATGTCCATTCCTTGTGTTTTCTTGGCCCAAGTAATTCTCTTCTTCTTACTGGCCTCCCTCAGCGGTGGTTTCTTTGCAGCCATTCGACGGTGAAGGCCTGGTTCATGCAGTCTCCTCCAGACAGTTGGTGTTGAGACGCGTCTGCCACTTGAACTCTGTGAAGCATTCATGTAGCCTCTAATCTGAGGTGCTGTTAATTGTCGATTCCTGAGACTGGTAACTCTAATGAACTTCTCCTCTGCAGCAGAGGTAAGTCTTGGTCTTCGTTTCCTGGGACGGTCCTCACGAGAGCCAGTTTCATCAGAGCGTTTGATGGTTTTTGCAGCTGCACTTGAAGATTCATTCAAAGTTCTTGCAATTTTCTGGACTTACTGACCTTCATTTCTGAAAGTAAGGATGGGCTGTTGTTTCTTTTTTCTGAGCTGAGCAGTTCTTGACGTAATACGGATTAATACAGTTGTCCAATAGGGCTCTTTACTGTATACCAACACTACCACGACACAACACAACTGATGGTGTCAAACACATTAAGAAATTCCACTAATTAACTTTTGACGAGGCACAGCTGTTAAATGAAAAACATTCCAGGTGACTGCCTCATGAAGCTCGTAGAGATAATACCACTATTGTGCAAAGCTGTCATCATGGTAAATGGTGGCTACTACTACTAAGAATCTAAAATATGAAACTTCTTTTGTTTTTGTTTTAACACTTTTTTGTTTACTACATAATTCCAGTCTCCAGTCTTGTTCTAACATGTAGAAAATAGTCATAATAAAGACAAACCCATGAACTGGTATGTGTGTCCAAACTTTTGACTTTTGGTACTGTATGTTGAGATAAGTTTTCAATAAACCATAAAACACCTGCCAAATGTGTAATTCCTGATACCACCACTGGATGGTGGAGATGTTTCAACTTCTACACATCGTGGCTTTAACACTTGACACAATTTCCACAAATATATTATGTGAAAATTAGAAAGTGGAGTATAGCAGCAGAAATAAATAACAGATTCTCAGATAATGGTAGTACGGGTTAAATCACTCAGTGAAAATGATTTAATTTGATGTAATTTACACAGCAAGCAATGTAGAGTGCTCCTCACAAATGAGGGATCACCACTCCACATATCGCATTACACCTGATATCCACTAGATGGAGACATGTGTCAGTGAATCTACAGCATGTTCTGACTAGTTCAGCTGTGCATGCTTGGGGGGGTATGACCCCTGCAACACCATGTGCTGTTAAAACATTCTCCTCCATACCCAGCAGTTGAGTTAGTCACCTGTCAGCCTGTGCAAGTACAACATCTATTTCCCATCTTTTAAAGTGAAATGGAAAAAATTATGAATGACTGACAAAACAGCAAGGGGGCAGATCTAAAGGCATCTGTGTAATCACTCAAACAGAGATGCATTTATTTTTTTAACTGACAAACTCCTGCCTTGTACAAAAGAAAACATGACGGAAATACAAAGTATATTCCACCTCAAGTTGGTGTTGAGCTCTCTCTGCAATCACAAGGGTCTAACTTGAGAAAAACTGTGTTTTTCAAAAGTGAGTCTCTTTTCAGAAAGTGTTGTCTGTAACAAGATAAACTCACCTGTCTCTCTTGTAACAGACACCTCCTCTTTCTTGATGACCGGTGGCTGCTGAATGGGCCGAGAGGAAGGAGGAGTAGTCTGCAGGAAAACAATCATGCAACAGAGAGAGATAGATATTTAAAAAGGGCAAACAATGGCATTTCAAGGCCATATTTCCACTGGTATCTCCGCTACACTGTGGAGCCTTAGAAACAATGTAAGAACCGTGTCACTGCATGGGAAAATGCTGTTCTTGTTCCCATCAATCCCAAACAATCCCAACAAAAATGACTCATGTTTCCGCCCTGTGTCACCATTCAACTCCACTAATGTTTATAGTTTGTGCTCTTCCTAACCGAATATTTCCCAGCTCTACAACAAGCATATTTTAAACATGACTGAGTCAACATGTGCATGGCAAACCAAGGGCTGAGTAAAACATTTTTCTTTCTTTCTCTTTGAAAAAGTCAGACATCTCATGCCTGGGTTCTATTGCAAAACTCATCACATGTGAACCTTATTAGGGCTGTCAGGGAACACAGCCTCTGGTCTGTCACACTGATCTAGTCTGCAGCTACAACATGTCATTACTCGGAGTTATAGCGGCACCTGGAGTTCAATCACTGAGTTTATTTAACAAATCACATCTGTGTATTTATGTGTACTGTATATATGTGGGGTCATCCAATTGCTGCTACTCTAAACCTCACTTTTAACCTGCACCACTGAACAAGTAAAGCTCCATGACCATATAAAAGAGTTTGAGTTCATGGAAGGACATGGAGTGTGTGTGTATTTGTGTGTATACCTGCTCTTTCTGCCTTTTCCTTGACCTTTGTGCTCCCTTTTTACTACTGTATTAACCATTTAAATCAATTATTGCACGTTGAAATAGCTTAATAAATAGCTTCGTGTGCCCTTTATAGTAAAGTGTGTTTGTGGGTAGGTTTTGTGGACGAAAGAAAGACAGGTCAGCCTTCAGTGTGGCAATAGTCTTCATGCCACTAAAAACACAGCAGGACTGTGAGAAGCAACAGGAATAATTGAATGATGGGTGGGTGGGGGGTGGGGGGGTCACTTCTGCCTCCCAAACTGCCTTTTGGGCAAAAAGAGAGAGGGGGAGGAGATAATGCAGATACCCCCTTCTGTAGCTCATTCTTCACCGGTTATACACCTCGAATTGTCACCTGTGGAATTCAAGAGAGGAGTGGCATGAAGAATGTAGAGGAGGGGGGCAGCTGAAGGAGCAAAGTGAAGCCAGTGTTGTTAATTAACCATTAACCAGTTTCCTCTGTGGGAAACGTTTCTCCCCGCTGTGCTGCACAGCACTGACTATGCTAAGAATTTGGCCAGGCCATTATTGAGTGTTGTAAGTTGATGTACATATTAACGTGATAAAGAATATCCCTTCCTGTTCACTCCTTTACCTATCCATCATAGCTGGGGATGATCGGTGGGAGGGTCTCCCTTTAAAGCATAGTGATGATGGATCTTAACCACACAACCCCCCCCCCCGGCCGTCTTTAAGAGCAGGTATGCAGCTCCGATGGCAAATCAACATATTCCACCTACGCAGGAGGGTAGCTGTTTTTTTTCAGTGCATGTCCTATGAAGTACAGAGAGGAAACATATTGGAATTTGCACATGTTTGTGGTTGGCCTGAGGAAAAAATAAAAACTGTCCAACTGTTTATAAAATGCAGTAACAAAGGTTTGACTGTCATTTGTCTGACTCTTACTGGCTTTAGTGCAATAGAAAGGAATCAGAGTAAGAAACACGTAAACAGAAACCATGACCTCTACACCATTACCTCCCAAAAACATTCATCATGAAGATCGAAATGAACAAAACAAACCAAAAAAGTTTGCTACTTCACTTCTTTGTTTTGATTAGACAAATGTAAAAAGCAAGGCTCCTTCTTAGAACTCCTTGTGGATGTTACTCTACTCTACTTCAGTAAATGTGTGTTGTAAAAGTCATCTGTGCATGACTTGGAGTTTGCTTTTCCTGTCTTGTAAGTTTTCTTCCCTGAAAACAGAATGCAACATAGCTCCATCAGCATTTCCCCCAGGCTGTTAATATGAAGATGAAGACGATCAGGCAAACACAAAACGCTGATTTATCCATTCTGTTTTATCTACTGACTGTAAATCAGTAAATCACTTCTGATATTTATTTTGTATTCTCTCGATCGGATCAGCAGATTTAACATGGAAAAGTGGACAGTATCTCTAAAGGCAACCTTACTACATCCTGTAGAGATCTGGAGATATAACTATACCTCAAAATTCTCAGATGAAAAAGCAGAACATGAAGTGTGTTTCATAAAACTGAAAATATACTTTCATGCGCTTCATAGTCCTTTGTGAACTAATTGACCACATCAGACACAATGATACCCCCCACATCGAGTTAGTGTCATGCTCTGGAAACATTTCCTGTTTGGGCTTCATGCTGAAGGGCGACACTTCAGCAGTGACACTGTTAAGGATGACTGACTGGCTCTGCCATCTATCACCATGAATTCCAGGATGACAAAATGGAAAGTTTCACTTCTACAACTCTCTCTTGTCTAACTTGTCTTCGCCCAGACATGCCTTAATTGCACTGGTTGGACAATTGTGCAGAGTGTAGGTTATACTTTCTGTGAGCAGACATCAGACGGAAAAAAACATCAGCAGGTAGGCATTAGATGCCAGCTGTTGTCTTTTACATTACATTGCATATTACATGATGGTAATAAATGCCTACTGAACAGATGGAAAAGCCCCTTGTAAAACGTACAGAGCATCAAGGCAAGAGTAAGTAGAGCAGTAATGATGAAGAGACTTCCGACTTGAGGTACCTGACCCTGCCCTCACCGTCTCCTTCTCCAACTTTCTTTCCACCTCCGTCAGTTCCTGTGCACAGCTGATTGAGAAACCAGTCAGAATAACAAAGCCTTGAGGCGGGGGGCTCCAACTTGGATCCGATTGAGTCCAAATTGACATCTGGTTTTTCCAACTCTCCACTATAATTGTGAGTGGGAGTGAACAGACGCACAGAGGGGAAGGTGCCGGGTGGAGCTCACGCTAGAGTATGTTTCAGTTTGCGTGGCTATCTTTGAGGGTGGGAAGATGTGAGTGGGTGTCTGTGGAATCTGATTGTGTGTGTGAGAGTGAGAGAGACAGAAAACAGACAGAGGAAGACTGAAGGACAAAGCGGAGGGGGGGATAGAGAGAGCGACAAGAGGAGAGATGAAGGAGGTTGCAAAAAGATACAAATAGATGCAATGATTTAGAGAACTTACATTGGTGACTAAATGAAAAAAAAAAAGAAGAATAGCACAAGCATGACAAGTGTGAGTGAATTGGACAGAGCAAATTTGCACGTGCATGGTGGTGAAGAGACTATTATCTTGTCCGCTTTCATGCGGCCTCTGTCGGTTTAGGCCTTCATCCACGTGATAAGCGTCCATCTACATCTGCCCAGAGCGCGCACACCTCACCCAACACCAGGTAAACCCCCTGCAGGTTGAGCATGTGCAGTTTATTCTGAATCAATGAACTGAACACTAACATTCAAGATTAAAACCCTTCTTGCTGGCCTTACTTGTTGTGTGGGCTGCTATTAGCAAACGAATGATTCCTTAACTCTTAGCCTTTAGGATGGGCACATTTTAACTCACTCCAGTCTGATTAGAGGCAGCTCTTTATTTAAAACATCTTTGTATCCAAATGTATAACACAGAGGCATCTCGATTATCAGACATCAACTCAGCAGTTTTTAATCTCTCTTGAGGGACCAGTGTTCACTCACTCACACCCAGTAACTTGAGTGGTGTATCTAACAATGGGATGACTCAGTTTGCGGAAGCACGGTCTGCTGTTAATCATCTTAGCTGGCTGGGTGGACATGTCTGGTTTGATCAGCTGTTTGAATCCTCTTTAGGGAAGCATTCTTCCTCTAATCATCCATTCATTTTTTCTCCTTCTTACTCTCGTACACACTCTTGACTTATAGTTTAACATCAAGTTCATTTACTTCCAGAGCAATTTCCAGGAAGAAACTGATACACCTGTAGTGTTTCAATATATTAATGTGTTGTTTAGTCAGGATTAAATGACGGGGAAAACAAAGTTACTGCATGTAAATATTGTAAAACTTTAAGAAGTAAAAGAGTTCAATAATAAAAAAAAAAGGTTGTTCCATACCGTCCATCTGTCTCTCTCCACGGCTGGTTTTAAGGGTCTTCTTTCTTCATAGCCACTTCCTTCACCTGAAGCCTGAGGAGACCAACCATACATACAACATTTCATTTCAAACCCACAAGATATTCCTCTTGGTTTAATCCAGCGCATACAAACCTGTAATATCTGAAAACACGAGTGTCAGTTCATGAACTCTTTACTTGAATTCTTGGTCAATTTCAAGTCAGCTATAATGGAATTTAGCTACATAGAGAAATGTCTTTATTGCAAACCTGTACAAATATCTTAATTACATAATCTCAATGCTGTTTGCGCTCTGTGTGACAGCATTAGTGGCCTATTTCAGTTGCTCATGTTGTTTTTATTGTTTTTTATGTCGCTTTCTTAACTGGGGTCCCTTTTGAAACAGATATTTTAAACTCAATGAGTCTTTTACCTGTTGAAATTAAGGTGTAATTTAATACTGAACTCAACAAATTGACCTAATGTCATTAAGTTAAATGCTTGTATGTTAGCTGTATCGACAATTTACATCAAGTACATAGGTCTCATACAGTAAACTCCTGTTACATTCAAGGCTTCTTAGTAATTGAACATCTTGAATGTGTGCTCTGTACTGTCAAACAGCTGTGTGTGTGTATGTGAGGTTATCGTTTTAGATAAAAGGCACATCCTGAAATCTGAAACCTGTTATTTCCACTGCAAATGTGATTTCCCAGTCTAATCCAAACGACATCTAAAGATCTGATGACAACGAGCAGTCAAGTCTTGAGGACAAGGTTTTGGTGGTCTCAGCGAGCAGAACAGCTGTGAGGGCAATGTTTTACTAAATAACAGTTGAGGCTGCTGGTGGGCTGCAGAGAGGCACCTGTGTTTGTGTGTGGGTGGTCAGGGTCAGCAGTGACAAGGCTCCTCTCAGGCTCTTATCTGTTACAGATTTACTGTTGGAAACTAAGCGATGTAACATGCTGGAATAAACACAGTCCAGTTAGATGTCATTACTTGCTTCTTCAGGGCATCTCTGCCCTAATTTAAATACTTTACAACAATTTTTTTAAGTTATATTTTTCAGGCATTTTTGCCTTTATTGTGATAGAGACAGTGAGAGAGAGAGAGAGACATGAAGGTTGGGGAGAGAGAGAGGGGATGACATGCAGCAAAGGGCCAGGGGTCAGATTCGAACCCATGGCCGCTGCGGTAAGGACTAAGCCTATGTGGTACGTGCTCTACCAGGTGATCCACCGGGGTGCCTCCATTTTGACTATGACTTTGAACAGAATTGACCATTTCCTAAGTTGGTTACTGTTGCTAAGCACATGTTTGTGATATCAGTGCCAGATTTACCATTGTAATCCTTAATGATATAGACAATGAGACCCTGCTTTCAGACAGGGCGTAGACAAAAGTAGACTTCTCATTTCAAGCCAAATTAAATGACAGTTGGTGGCAGATTTTATCAGCTGTAGCTAGCTAGCTTACTAAACTACACCTCTTCATTCTTCTAACAAGCAGTATCTCTCTTCCCCTGCAGTCGTACTACAGCATATCAGTCACATGCAGAACATTATCATTAAAATGTGATTGTGACTCACCATATCTGAGTCATCCTCGTCCTCTTCACAGTGTCTCTCAGCAGCACGGGGGTCTCCCACCACCCTCAGCTCACCAATGAGCCCCTGTTGCAAAATAAGTACATGGTCTTTTGATGTTTGATGATTTATATATAGTAATGTAAGAACAACACTTGCTCTCTCTCTCTCTCTCACACACACACACACACACACACACACACACACACACACACGACTTCTTACTTTCAACATATAAATATAGATGTTTATCTCTTGAATTGCTGCTAAGGCTTTGGCAATATTTCTCAGGGAATTCCCCATTTCCACAAAATCAGAGTGGTTCTTGATGTCTCCAGTTTAACCTCTGCCTGTGAAGTGCCATTATCTCTGTCCCGCACACATGATCTGATACATGTTCCCACACAGGATGCTCACAGATAGTATGAATGCTATCTTCCTGCCTATCAAAGGCCCATTAGCTCTGTATGTAGAAGTGCTGAGTTATTTGACGTTGACTCTCCGGGTCACATTTATGTCCCTTGGCGTCAAATGGATTTTTAAAGAGAACTTTGAAGATAAACGGAAAAAGGCTCTTTGACATTTTAACCCTGTCTCTACACAGACTTTTAATGGTTGTACCGATAGGGTCCTTTTTTGTTACTTGCAATGTTTAGCTGACATGTTATGGTCTTTTTCTAACAACTCACTTTAGATCTTTGTAATAAATCATAGATCTTAGTCACAAACAAGGCTAAACTGTAACCGCAGCAAGTTTTTGCTAGTGATAAGAAAAAGGGACATCTAAACAAATAATATTTCAGACTGGAATGTCCATTTTATAAATACATAAAGTAAATATTTAGATGCCAAAGATACTTCCCAAGTCTTAATTTGATTAGGTAAATTAAATTCACAAGACCCCGGGAACCTAGGGCCATGTTGAGGTCAACAAACAGCACATGGTTAACAAGTCCTGAAAGAAGAAAATTCCCTTTTTAAATAAGCGCTTTACAAAACAGCTTTCAATCACAAGGGAATACCTTAGACATGCTTGTGTTCAACAGCGATATAAAACAAAATAAGCAGCAGTCTTCACACACAGCAATAAAAACGATTAAAACGATACACCTGAGAGAGGAAGCAAGAGATGATGTTTCAGCTGGGCAAACAACAGAAACTTTACTTCAAGGGCTTAGAGCCCGATTGGAACCACTTGTTTGGAATTTGAACATATTCACTTGTGTAAATATCTATTTCAGGGTCATTTATGTGCACATAACCAGCAAGATTCCATATTTAGAAATGCTGAATAGTGTAAAGTGCAGGGTAAACAATCACCATCATGTTAAAGTTTAACTCAAAATGAGGAAAACACCAAGGTGTTAAGGTCATGTTGGCACTTGTGTATGTCCATTCCAAATAAGGCCATTATTTGCACAGAAAACAGTGACTTATTTAAAGTTATTGAAGGACACGCAATTCATACAGCAAAAGTATCTTAATTTCCATGAAAAATAAAGAAGATTTGCATGAATCAAACAAACAGTAGCTTCTAACTCCAAAGGGACCTCGGTTGTATTTTCAAGTCTGGCTTGAAAAGCAATGACGTAATGAGCTATCTTTTATATTGGGAATTATCATTGTCAAAATATTTACTAAAGAGTCCAAAAAGTCTCTTTTCCCCAAATTCTAAGTGGACTGAAAAGACATAAAAGAGTCATTAAATACTGAGGAAAAGCGTGACACTGACGCAATGGAGTGGCAAATTGTACAAATTGTGTTTTCAACACCTAAATTGTTTTATGTTTTTTTCCCTTTTGCTTTTACTATTTTGATTTGTGCAAAAAAAAAAAATGCCAATGGTTTATCTGTTTAAAATAAGTAGTTGCATGCACAGAGGAAGAATGAACAGTTATCCCTGATTGCATGTTTTGTCTGTGCAGGTAGCCATGGGTGAACTACAATAACCCTTTAACGGCTGAGGTCAACATTTGTTGCAGTCAACTGCTGAGATTTACTGCAGTCAAATGACTGCAGATAATTACATCCCAACTGTGAGGTTTCCCAATTATTTGCAGACAACTCTAAGGAGGATGGTGAGGTGGTGTGGACATTTATGTTATGCTTTTGGAGTTGGCCAATTTGGGCAATCAAGTCATATGAGGGTTATTCAGCCAAGATGTTTCACATGCCTGACTATGGAAAATCAAAACACCGCGCTGAACTTTTCCAAAGATTCTCGCAGCAGGAATCCCCATCACATCAGTGAGGTCAATGTCATAACTATTCCGTGCCAAAGCATCACGCACATATTTCTTTATCAACTATGAAAGCTTTTTAAAAAAATAAAGTATACATTTCTACATTATTTATCCCTTAAATTATTTAGAATTGTTTTCCTCAGCCCATGTACGCACCAGGAACTTCTCAGGATCAGCTCCTCCAGCCTGCCCAATGAAGACGCCGGCACCGGCCTCCAGCTCCATCTCATCCGGGGACCTCTCGATGCGCATCACCTGAGGGTCTGTGTCACAGTTGAGGTAGAACGTCACCTTGTCATCCCTCACGGCGATAGCGAAACGGGTCCAGGTATCCCTCAAGGAGGGTACAAGGAACCTGGCTGCTTCATAAGACTGCTGTGAGTCGGGTTCTGTGTAGTACAGGATGACATTCTGGTTGTCACCCTGGACAGGTGACAGTTTGACACCCACATACATGATCTGCTGTGAGGCATCTGTGACAGAGAAGATGACTCCACCCCTGTCAGAGGTAGGTTGCAGGTTGAAGATGAGGGCAAAGTCTCGGTAGAATGGGCTCGGCAGGTGAGCGCGTGCCAGCTGGCCCGTGTTGGCATCGGGGCCAAAGACATACGCGGGGCTGTTGTCGGGCCCATAGACCCGGGTGATCTCACTAGGAGGAGGATCCCCAATCAGCTGCGTCAGGGTGACTCCACTGTCTTCTAGAGGGTGAGAGAAAAAAGATGTCAGGCCACAATATGCACCAAAGTAAAGTGTAGGTTAGAAGGGAGGGCAGCATGGCAGGGTATAATGTTAGACCAGGCTCTATTAGGCTGTTGGTGGTTTGGCTTAAAGTGAATGTCTGATTGATGCAGGTACAACCGCTGTCACGTGCACAGGACGGTAGTATTTTAAGTCTCTGTTGTACTAGAACACAAAAAATGAAATGGAAATCAACCACAACTTCCTCAAACCAAACTGTAAGCTTTTTTGAGAGGCCTTGGCAAAGCGACTCTTCTCAGGGGACCACAAACAAACAAACCATTTTTATGACTCCTAGACCACAATATGGAAAGGCCTGACATCCCCAAAGAAGGCAAGGGACTGGTCACAGGAGACTAAGAAAAACAGATGACTTTAGCAGACCTGTATTCCCAAAGACCGCTAACACTAAACTCCTGATTCCTAAACTGAAGGGAGGCACAGTCCAGGAGAGACAGTGCATGACTTGAGAGTTGATTAAGTGCTCACAGTATATGTGCCAGAAGAGTTAAACTCAAGATGGAACCATGTAGAGTTATAGTCTCTAGATGTGCTCTCTGCAAATCTCTATGGCAGGAAATCACATTAACAGACAGAAAAATGACACATTTAAAAACCTTTAAATTTTCTCATATTTTGAACCCCTGTCAATCGCCTGCGTGCAGAATAAGGTGAAGACGTCACATTCCTGAAGACGCTAAAAGAAAACAGCACAACTCTTCCGACTTGTGTGTCATCTGCTAAATGTCACTGCTCCAGGGCACACAGGGACCAACAGCTGGGCCTCCTGCATATCCGTGCTCACTCTTCCATCACCCTGGGTGACTCTGGTGAGGTCAGCGCATAATTATCGGAGGCGTTTAGGAAATGCAAGGAACACAAAGAGCAATGTGTGTTCATTCACACGCATGGTAAAGACAGCTTTTGTTTCACTGTAGCGTCAAACTTGTTGCTGAATCTTTCTGCTTGTTCAAAAATAACATTTCCTCTTGTTAAAAGAAAAATCACAAAAATCACTGTTTTGGGAGAACACTTGATGTAGTTTCTGACGCTTTGAAGAAATGCTTTGGTTTACCACCTGGTGACTAATGTGCGAGCTCTATTGCTCAGTTCAAAGCCTCCCCACTGCCTCGACTGCTGGAGATCAGTGGGGTCGGCAGTTGGCTTTGTTGAGAGCTTAAACACACAAGGTGTTCAGCTGAACCCGAGGTCCTGCTTTCCGCTGTACAAGCACAAACACCAGTCTGAATATTCTACCTGCTGTCTTAGAGCTAAAGATGCTTTAATTTGAATCTGAGCTAACAGAGAACCCAGTCAAGCTGTAACAAGACAGCAACAAAAAATACATTCCAGTATTATTTATGCAGTTCCCCCTCTCTGCTGATAGGACAGACATTTCTAAATAAGACTATCAGTAGCTGACTTATCACTGTACATTCTGACTAAAGTGTACACGCAAGTGATGTATAATGATGTGCCAAAAATACCAACCGAATCTGGAACAGCCACATTTCAATGAGTGATACAAATGTGAAAAAGCCTTCTTTTTTTTTTGCAAGATCTGATTTAGTTGACTGTAAAAATGATCACTTCAATTTCAAAATAGGATCTTGGTGGAAAATCCAATAACATATCCAATACAGAATATTTTGTCAAGTTAAGGACAAATTCAAAGAGGATATCTGTCTAAATATCTATTAAAAACAGACATGTCACTGGGTAAAAACCTTTTTCTAAATCCTGAGAGAAACATAGCACAACATAAACCAGACATGTTCTACCTAAACTGAAATATGTTAACCGTAAAATGACAGATGCAAACAGACAAGGAGAGTACCGGGTTCAGAGCCACACTGCAGCATGGATGGCACTGAACAATAAACGGTCATTTGCACCAGGCTGACCAGATGTTTACTCTGATAAAGTCAGAATGAGAAACCTCAAGGGTCTCCTCAGTGGGCCTGTGCTCACATGTCTGAACCTGGCTCCCTCCTATGCACACACTCTGCCAGAGCAGGGCTGAAAAAGGCAAAACTTAGTAGTAGCAATTCAGTGATGAAATCCATCATGTGGGAAAGCACACCATTTTAATTTGTAAATCCCCCTGCTGCGGGTGCTGGGGCCGACATGTGAGCTACCTTTAAAGCAGAAACACTCCATAACTGAGCATGTATGGTTCCTCTTTTTCCAATAAAAACATAACATGACATTTATTTTTGGCCTGAATGACATTGATTGTGCTTAAAAAATGTCTGTCTCCTCAGGATGCAGTTCACTAGCTTGTTTAATTTTCAAAAATACATGCAATTTGTTAAGCATACGTTAAGCAGCTAGTCATAAAAATTATTCGATTTGTGTGCAGATTAAACTTCAAGGTCGGTAATAAGTTGGAATGTGAGGCGCATCTCTCAAACAGAGCACGGTTGTCCCTCAGCATGCAGCATGCCTCTAAAGTGCAAACGGAGGCTTCAGCCTCACGCTCCTCTCCTCTCTCTCCACAGCATCACCATCTCTTCCTCAAACATCTGATTTTCTAATGTACTTGCCAAATGACCAGCAGACATTCTTCTGGAACGTGTGTGCACAAGCTTTCCAAAGTCCTCATTAGTGAAACATCTCTCCCATTGGTCATCACTCGTGCCGACCAGATGTGCACTCTTTTGGACTATGTTCAGAATTTACCAAAAAGAAGAACCAAGACCCAAGGACTGTAACTAAGCACTAGATGCAAAAAGTATCACTATTTACTTCAAATCTGATCTTCAAAAAAAATATATCCTGATGTGATTCTGCCAGATGTCTACACGGAATAAAAGAAAGTTTAGGACTGTAAATAAAGACAATTTGGTTAGGGGATGTAAAGCACATAAAAAGGGTCCACAGGAATTCTTTTGCTGAAGCCTGTTCAATGTGCCCGCATTGTCAGAAAAGAGCCAGCCAGTCATTCCCTCTCAGAGATCAAAAATTGTCGGGTACACAGGGTTCACCATTAGCATTTTAAGTGCAATCTCAATTCAGGTTTTCCAAATAGCTTTTGTTGTCCAATGACAGCTTCAAGGCCAGTTGGGTATAGAAACCAAGAGTTGATGAATGGAATGCTGTAGGGTTTATGGTGCTAGTTTGTCTTGTCAAGACGACCATTAACTGACCGGGGACACAGCTCTTTTTCGTCTCCTAACATTCCAGGATGGGGCACCAGAGTTTGTGATACCCTGTTGATAAAGCTGTATATACAGTGCAAAACTGTATATACAGCTTTGGGAAGTACAGGATCCTGTCTAATCCATGGGAAAACATTTGAACATCTGGACTGTCTGGAGAAACCTTATGGTTTCACTGACTACGCTCTATCACCATTTAAAACATCCCTTGAGGCCTGCTGACAAGGGCAATGATCTCTCCCCTCACTCTGCAAAGAGCTGGTCAGTGGCCTGACCGTGTGTTTGGAGAGTTCACCTCTAGAGACATGAAAATTACAGTCCCATGATTGTAAAAAAAAAAAAAAAAAAGCATAAACTATGTATGTAGCGCTTGTCAGACAATTGATTTAAAAGGGAAGCTAATTGAGTTTGGCCACATGATATATTGGTTGTGTTTGCTTTCTGCCTGTTAGATCCCTGTTTGATCTTGTGGTTTCAGTGTCCGGCTGCTCGCAGGGTTGAAGGGAGTCATTTGTGATGCTTATAATGTAAAATCAATGTCAAGTACTTGGTGGAATCGATTCTATCTGGGGAAATAAAATACTTTATAAGATTTGGTTTGACATGACAAATTCATTTACCTGTAAAAGCCTATTTTGGTGCTTTAGAGAATGTAAGCATTGATACATACAGTCTTATGCGAGGAGATATGGTTCCACGACTACTTTATGAAATTTACATACTACATAAACTATAGCAACATAAAAGCTATAGTGGCATATACAGGTAACTTTAAGGCCAAACCCAGGCTCAGAAAAAAAAATGAACACAAGATGTTTTAAATATCAAAGTATACTGGACCTCAACACCATGAATAAGTGGTCCTTTCTTCCTGCAAAGTGTATTCTGTGAGCCACTGAACAAAATGTCCCGTATCTTTAACCCGATGTAGCAGAATGCTCTGAAAAACATATCAGACCTGAAAACCACATCACAGTCCAGGAAGGAGTTTTTTTGTTGGCTCACGCTGAAGACTGAGCTGTAATTCACCAACCACAAAAAGGAAGATGGCTCTACCACAAGCTGTGCACTTTACTCTTTGGGGAAGGAGTAATATGATACTGTTCAAGTTCTCTACCTGTAAGTAAAGAACTTTAGAGCAACACACAGGGTATAAACAAACCCTTTGCCCCACACACACACACACACACACACACACACACACACACACACCACTAGCTTCATAAATATGTGTTTTTTGGAACTGTAGAGGAAAATAGTACTTTATAGATATCCACAGAGGCACAGTGGAAATGCTTAGTTTACATCCAAATCATCCGAAATGCTGAGGCAGCACTGGTCTCCTTCAGAGTCTCCTAAAAACTTTTAAAGAGTGTCACAAGCAGGCCGTTATCCACCTCACAACATTTCTGTGCTTCTGTACTGTGTTTAGCAACACTGGCTCAACAGTCCGGTTTTTGTACTGGTGCTACACAAACCAGAGGGGGCATTGAGTTTCTGGCAGCAGAGAGGTCGGACAACACTGTGCCCATAATTGGAACCCTCCTGAGAGCCAAGTCAAAATGATTCCCTGGCAAGCAGCACGCAGAAGAGCCAGAGCCAGCTTTGGGCGTTCCTGTCATGAGATACAATATCAATCTCTGCTCAATGGAACCATGGTGCTACAAATCAGTGTCAGACCTCCAAAGAGGGGTACAAGCCCCAAAACACAGACTACGTGCACACACACACTGAGATACCACCAAAAGAGCCGTGTTTATCTAAACAGGAAAACATCCTTTTCATCTTTTTAGACCACCACAGAGGGGGGCAGGGACGGGATTTTCATTTCATTTCAATTAAACAGCCTCAAGTGACAGAGAGTAATGGAGTTTCTCATACAGGATATAGTTTTACCATCAAGACCTAAGTCAAATAAATTGCAGTTGACCTTTAGACTCTGATATGAATGACTGCTCATCTTTCAAGCAGGAGACTGGTAACCATGGAAAAACATCATTAAAAGGCCTATTGTGGCCTAACAATCCTGTCTTACCACAGGGGTAGCCCCCCCGTAGTAAAAGGAGCACATCTGACAGATTTCTTACAAGTTTCCATGCACACACTGATATCTCAGCAATCTTCCCACAGTAATCTCCCACATACACACATCTATGGGCTACATTCAAATATTTTTTTCATGTATAAACCGCTCCTTTGTGTTTCTTGCCCCATTCCGATGGCCTTGTCTTTAATTCACCCAAAATACCAACTCAGAAAGATGTAAATATATCATGAGACATTCTTTCATGACAGGTCATAGTTAAATGATGTAGGAGTGGGGTGGTATTAAGGCCCAGAGCAAAAACAGTGTGTGAATACCCTCCTCCCACACATCAAGCCAACAGAGCTGCAGATGGTGAAAAGTAAAGTTCCCAGACACTGCGTAGTCCAGGTTCTGATCAGTGAACTGGAGGAGGTCAAAGGACTTGTAAGTGGGTAGACGCAGTAGAAAACAGTCCAGGATTAAGTTACAGGACTAACAAACAGGGGAATAAAGCATTTTTGACTTCAGGGCAAACATTAACAGAGCTTTGTGACACACTATCTTGGGCATTTATGTCTGACATCACTCAGCTGAAAGTCAAATCCCACCAACTGGTCAGCCACTTTAAATTTACCAGCATGATCACAGGCTCCTGCATTAAGACACTGGCATTAGAAAACTCAAAGGCAACGTCTAACGGTCTCTAAAGTTTACCAGTTATCCTCAGGATCTGGGGGCAAACAGATCACACATACTTACTCAGTAGCAAAGTAATTTGTTACATCGTGTCTATCAAGCATCAGTCCCACGACCAGTGTCCATTAGTAGGTTTTTAAGCTTGTTGTGCTTGAATGAATGATACCAGACGGTCTTGACTGCCGTGGCTTTCCTGTCTATCCAAGAAGAATGATGTAGAGTAACTGAAAGCGCTCCAGTTATACCTTCAGGCTACTATACAGGTGATACCCAATACAAATGCCTTGGCTGTGAAGCAGCTTCTGGAGAACCTATAAAAGCTGCAGCAGGAGTGTAAAGACAGCAACAAGATTATACTTTGCCTGAGGTGTATTTGCAGTGTCAGGACTGCTGGGTCTAGAAGCCCCTACATATAGTATATCATTTTTTTAGGATTCCAAAATCTTAACTTAGTCTAAACTTACACCTGTGTCAAACTATTTGAAAACTGTGTGAGGTTTACAACATGAAGCTTTGAAATATGGCCTGGTGAAGTTAACACTATGTTTTCTGCCATGAAAATGAATCCTCCTAACCCTCCTGATGTAGAAAACCACACCATCACCCTGCACACTAAGATAGAGAAAGTTTAAACTATTCGAATCTATTTGGGCCCAGATGTGTCACTTAGTTGTGGAACCAGAAACTCGTCTCCACTCGTGTCTGTCAGTGGAGCAAGCTGTCAGAAAGATAGCAAAGCTGTAAAAAGGCACAGTCTTGAACTCTCAGTGATATGAAGTGAGTGTGGAGGGCAGGAGTGTAGCCCAGTAAAAAGGATTTGACTTGTTTGATACAGGAGTAAGACTAAAGGATGTTCTCACATGAATCAGCATCAGCACTCACAAGTAGAAATAAACATCTGACTCATTTTCTCCATCATTTTTTTAGTCACCAGGGGCATGAATTGTATTTGTTGGTTTTAATCCTAGAGAGGATACTGACATGCACACTGTTTAGGACTATATCATAGTATGTCCATTTAAACATAACTTAAGCATAAGCACATAGCTGTTAGTTTACTGCTGCCATTTCAAACAACAAATTAACAGCGCTGGTATTTGACATGCCATGTTCACTGAATCCAAGGGCATTTTTGACACAGTAATTACAAGCACATGAGATCAAAGCATTCATCAGCTGCTTCACTGAATTAAACTGCAACAATCTCCATTATGCACATAACTCCAGATCAGAATCGCATGCCTTGAATGGTCATTCATTTCTTTTACCTTAACATCTTCACCTTAAAATGTGTCACCTGAGTCAAAACACAGTTGTATAAACTGACATCCCTCTGAAAACCACCGATGCAAACATGACTGCTTACCATGCATGACAACTTACAAATGTACAACAAGCTGCCTGCAAGCCACTCACTGTCAAGAGACATGCAACTCTATATGCCAAAGTTTCTACAGTATTTCATGCACAAACTGTTTACAGAGGAAGAGCTTCTGTCTTCTGTAACTTCAGATGTATTAAGGCTTACGAGAAAAAGCAAACAGAGCTACAGTTTCCTCAGTATTACAAAAAAATACAACACAAAGAAAAACCAACTGTGCCTATGGCAGGAAAAAAAATAATTAGTACTTTGTTCCTTCTTAATATATGTGATAAATAGTATTGGGCACAGAAAATATCTTTACCTGGTTGTGTTTTCTGATGTCACGGCGATGTTCATTTATTTTTGTACTATGTCATGCTTTAAGTTTACTTGACACTTTTTAAACCGATAGACTATCTGTTGATGCAAAGACTGCACTCCAGGACATGATATACAAAATGTACAAAAACATGTCTGACCCTTTGAGTTAATAACCTACTGACAAAATACACATCAGTTAGAACCAAAAACCCACTGAACTGTGTGTGTGTGTGTGTGTGTGTGTGTGTGTGTGTGTGTTATATGGACCTTCAAGGAGTAAGTCACATGCAATCCAAAGGACAAGGGAAACATACATGCAAAGGTTAAACACTGCAAAGTGTACTGGCACCATGCTTGTTAGGCTGCACCCAGAACTTCCTTTTAGCATCAAGAGTAACAAACTTGCAGCATGCTTATTTTTCTTTTCAATCAATTTGCTGTGTATAGGAACCAAGACATTGTTAATCTCACTGACTCAGTTTTGACACTGACAGGGATAAATCACATTTAACTGGGTGGGTACTGGGTATTGGGTGTTGGGTATTTGGTGGAAACACCAGACAAACTGGGGAGTAGGGATTTTGAAAACTGGTTCAAAATGAATCCCAAAACTAGGATTCATTTGAACCAGTGATTACCTTTCTGGTTACTAACTGACAAGCACTGATACCCATCATCCTCATCGTCTGGTAGAGTGTGGCACTCCACGGGGAGGTGTCCCTCATCCAGGAGGGTCCAGCAACTGTCCCGCAAAACTTCACAGAAACTCCGGCAAGGCAACACCGGCAGTGAACCCAGAGAGCCACACTTTGGTACCAAGAGAAGGCAGAAAAACCACTCCAGACTATGGTGGCAATGTGACCTCAACAGCCATGCCCACTGGTTCAGGAGTGCCCGGACTTCCTCCACACTGCTCTGGTTGAGGTAATTCGGCACAACAAATCTTTCCCCAACCATTGAGGAGCAGAAAGGAAGAGCGGCATCTAGCAACAAGCATTGTGAGGATTCTGTGACCTGTACTGATTTAGCTACTTCTGTGTGGCTTCCAGCTGGTGCCTGGCTATCTATGGCTGTCTGGCTAAATACAGTTGCTTGGCTAGGCTCTTGCTCACTTACTGATGTTTGTGTAGCATCTAAGATGTGACTGATTTGGCTGGCCACAGTCTGGCTAGTTGCTGATGCAGAATTAGGCTCTTGAATGGTTGTGGGTATTGAGGTAGTATCTGTTCTCTTGCTAGCTATTTGTGGTTGATGAATTAACAATTTCTGGGTATTAGTTTGTGTTTGGGTTGTAGAAAACATCTGGTCAACAAATGAAGCTTGGGTAGTCTGGAAAACCTGGTTAGGTAAAGTTTCCTGAGTAGCTGTTGATTCAGAAGCTGGTAACTGAGTAACTTCCACTTGTTGGTTGTCCTTGGTTACCAGGGTAGTCTCCTCGGAGTGTTTGCCTTCAATTTGAGTTAGTAAAACCCCTGGGGCGGAGTTTTCACGAGAATACTGTGTCAGATCAAAGCTACTGTTAGGTTTTCTATTTCTGCTAGTGTTATTGGGGATTTCAGTAAGAAATTCAGGATTTGATTTTGCACTACCAAGATCATGGCCCTCATCTGTTCCGTTATGAATGATCAAGTCACTGCTTTGAAACTCATTTGTTTGGGACACTGCACTGTCTCCACTATCTAACCCCCTGTGATCAGTGGCCATTATTGCTCCTTGTTGGTTTTCGACGGAAAACCCTTGTGTTTCAAAGCCAGATTCCCCTATAGTTTCAGCTCCTGTTGCAAACCCAGATTCAGACCAGAATCCAGAGCCAGACCAAATATGTGATGCAGTGTCTGCTGCCAATTGAGACTCTGGGCCAGATTGGTATCCTGCTGCATTTCCTGTAAATCTTAAATCATCAAATCCTTCAGAACCCATACCCTTTAGTGAGGATGTGCCATTACCAGGTTTAAGTATGCGTGACGAAATCCCTGTTGTGCCCCTTTCTGGTGGCCGGTCATTCTTGGGTTGCGTTGTAGGTATTAGAGAGGTCAACAGAGGAGTGGTCTCATCCCAAGTCTGCACAGTCTTTTGGATCCCATGTCCTTCATCAATGATCTCCGCTGCAACCCCATCCTCTGTTGGCTGTTCTCCACTACCTGCTGGACTGCCAGACCCCTCATGGTCCATTGTTGGGGCCAAAGTTGTGGTACCAGTCCAGGACCAGAACCAAGCATCAGAGTAGACCATCCACTGGGCCAACAAAAACAAAACTCCAACCTGGGTCCTCATCTTGGGCATAATGTCAAGTCTTGACCTCGTCCAGCCACTTGATCAGAGTCCAAGAGTGGACTATGACATGTCCACACAGCCACTACACTCCTCACACAGACTTTCCTCCCGCTCAGTCCCCACACACACTCCACTAGGCAGAGAGGAAAAGTGAAGAGGAGTGCCCCATTCAAAAGAGTAAAGGGGGAGAGCAGAAGGAGGTGTGCTCCGTATTGGCTGCCCTGCCAATATTTCCTCTCCTAACTCCTCCTTCCTCCTCCTTCTCCCTTTGTCACAGCAGTGAAAAGCGATCCCTCCTGCTGACTGATACCTTAGAATTACGGCAGCCTTGCCTGTCAGTGTACAATACTGATGCTTTCAGTGTTTTAGAGAGAGGGGCAATTTGTTCCCCTTGACTTGCTCTCTTTGTTCAAACATGATAATAAGAAAAAACTACAACAGATCTAGCTTTAAAAACTGCAAATTGTGTGAAAATGCAGTGATCTTCTGATTTCAGCTTTCAACAAAAAGAATCAAAAGCTGTACTGTGGTAATATACTGTGAAACATAAAGAGCAGTGCTGAATTCCTGCTTATGGATTCAAATTAGTTCCAATTAAGTGCAATAGTGCAAACACTTACTGAGCAAAGTTGCCGTTGTGGTATGTTGACACGTTTAATAATATATATAATCTAAGCAGCAGATTATAAACAGTATCCTTTTACAGTACTTGTATTGTTGTATGGGATAATGCTGTATATGTCTAAACAATACAATTCAAAACCACTGAGTAAACTAAACCTTTTTTATGATTCAGGTGAAAACAGTGTCAAATTTAAGGCATTAGCCGAATTCATGCAAATCCATCAGTTTATTCTCTGACACTAGCTTGGATGTACCAAAAAACCTAATGTCCCTGCATACATTGTCTCTGCTCCACATGATGCCATTTAATGCTAAATCCAGTTTAGACCCCTGTCTTCAGTACTCTGTGGTTACACAGTAATCCAGGCCTCACTTTCTTGTCCAGACTAGTTTCTCATTCTGCCTATGGGATCAGTTGACAGAGACCCTAGACATCTGCTAATCGGAGATTAGTGATAAAAGCAAGAGGAGGTTTGTGCAAGTGTCTCTCTAATAGTGCCGGGCTTTAAAATAAAGGCAGGCATTTGTGCATATAACCTCTGTTGCTGACAGAAAGAAACTCAGGTCATTTTGTGCACAGCAAGCCACCAACCTTATAGAAGTTTCCACATGTTTATGCTGAGATGCAGACTTGTCTTTAAGCTTGACAACTTTATCCTTTAGTTCTCTGTCATGGCCTGGGGTCACTGATGATCCAAATGTCTGCAAGATTGTGACTGTTTGGTCTAACAAAGAGGGAGGGCCAACACCAAAGCAAGGTATAGCGTTCCATGTTTATGTATTTTAAGGTATACAGCTAATGAAAAGAAGGACTAGTTAACTATGCTGACTAGTTGACTGTGATGTATTACAGAAAACAAGGTAACTCACTGATTTATCACAAGACCAGATTATTTTTGCACTTTCTGCCCAGATGAAATTTTTCATGAAAGGAAAATATTGTGTCTGGTCATATGAAAAGCAGTTTGCTTTTGGGCAAATATGACTCAGGGACTTGTGATTGTCTTTTGCTGGTTGCCCTTTTATTGAAAAGAAAATGTATTCTTCTAGGAACAGATGAAAAAAAAGTCTATTTGCCAATAAAATATTTAAAAAAAAATGTATAAAGAATGCTGAATTTCTGTTATTTCTCTGTTAACTTCAGTGACACACTTCTTAAGAGGGTGGCTGTAATATGATAACAGTAAATAGTTAACCCTCTGGGAAAGGAGGTAACATTCTTGAGAGTAATACCAAGCAATTGTTCACTCTAAAACTGTCAAAAATAGACAATTTAATTATGGCTGTTACATGAGAAAAATGAAGAATGACAACTTCAAGTGGGAAAATAATTCATTGTCAAGGTGACTTTCAGCCGGTGCCATGCAAAAGGGAACAATCACGAAATGTTACAGTAAAAATTAAAAGCAGGATGCTCATGCAATGTCATTCTCATGCCACAAGACGACTTTCCTGAGGTCAGACGAACTCAAGGATCAAAGTAATTGCCAGTTTCCTTTTGTCGGTGTGTAAACCAAAATAAACAATGTTTATAGTAGGAACTTTGTAAATAAACTCTGGGATAATAAACTGGTAATGATTAGTGTTAAACATCAGACCACCCCTCGAATGGATTCTCGTGTCTCATTGTATTATTGTGCAGGTTAGGATCACAGACCAACATCATAGCTGGTGCCTTTTTAGAGAAAGTTAGTAAGTACTCAAAGGGCTGTTCAAAACTAGGTTCAAAGCCAGATCATTGTAACCTAAGGATGGCAGAGGTTACAATGCTGAAATGCAAAATCCAGACAAAAAGTCAGAGAATGTATCATGAGGAGACTCGAGTCAGAGTAATATTATTCCAAAGATGATAATGACTTAGCCATGAGATAGGAGTTTGGAAGAGTGTTCATACAAACTTGAAAGGTGGGAACCTTGCCAAACAGACTTGGGTGGCCAAGCATACCCCTTGTCACCTTGTCAAGAGTCGCCTTAGAACTCGGAAATGATCTGCTTATTTTGGAAAAACCCTAAGATGGACAAAGCTAAATTGCACTTAATGAAGTCAGTGCATTTGCACTGTTGGAGTGACAGTTTTTTCAGCAAAGGTAATCTGAGGTAATCTGCAGATATGAACATATCATGAGCTATGTCCAAGGAATGTGTCCCTCTTTTCAACATCCTTTTCATGTCTACTACAAACTGTGCAGAGTACAGTCTGGCAGAGTCATAAAGACAACACAGACAGAGTTATTTGTAATTGGAACAGGTAATTACAGTAAGAAAGGTTGAAAGCTTTGCACTCTGCTGCACGTCAAAGACAGAAGCGAGACAGAAAAAGCGATTGCAACTTAAAGAGGTCAGATAAGCAGTTCTCTAAATATGTATTATTTCAGAAAGTGTGAAAAATGTAGCTTAGTGGGACTAACACCGTGTCTACACATGAGATATAGCGTGAGCAGCACTACGTCTGTGTCTATAAGCTATTTATAGATAAACAGATACTTTTTTTTGACCCTGTGGGGAAATTGGTTTGCAGCATAATCACAAGGCATTTCGTCATAACATCACAGAGCCACTATTACAGAGTCACCAATAGCATACTCATAAATCCTCATACGCTACACATATCCATACAGAGTCAGCAACAGACATGCTCATGCACATGCCCATACACATGTCTCGTGACTTGCACCAGAGATGGTCTGACCAGCTTTTTATGTGCATTACTTGTTTAAAAATTTAGTGGCTTGTAGAACAAATGAAATTTTGGATCCGTTTTTGGTGAACAGATGAGAATAATATCGTCGCCCAGATGGCAACAGTTTAAATGAAGAGGCAAGGTGGTGCCTCTTGTCACCCACAATGGTGTTTGCCTTATTCATTAGTCTGTCTGTGTAAATGCAGTCCAAACTTGGTAACATGAGCCTCAACAGTTCACTGACTGTTGTTACCATTTTGCTCACAGACTTTTTCTGTGCCTCAGTGACATTGCCAAACCAGCAGCTGATGCAGAAAGCTGAAACACTTTCAATAACACCACGGTAAAACATTTGACTTATTAAAGAGTAACAGTTTCTTTAAAAAGTAAATTCCTTGTTGTGACTCAGTGTGTATGAGGTCAGTCCACAGGTTCAATTTGAGCTTATGGTCAAGCATAATGCAAATTCCAAGAGCTTGTAGTGTCTCCCCATTGATGAAGGTAAGGTGTGAGGATTGTAACTTTCTAAAATCAATAGATACATAGACATGAATATTGATCACCAACGTTTCACTGGACATATGCATGTAAAACACGCTTTGGGATGCATTTACATGTGCATAATGTGAGTGAAACTTGAGCTGTCACTGTACAGAAAGCTGCATTGATTAAAACAGAGGCTTATCTGTTCCATCAGACAACTGAAAAACGCGGCTGAAACACTGTAGACATGCCATAACCACTGGAATTTCATTATCAATTGACAGAAACAACAGCTGAGCATTTGTTGTCAGAAAATATATTTGTAAAAATGCATTGGTCATGATATTTGTAACCAATGTTAATATTAGACACACATGGCCAAGATCTCATATGACTAGTATCCATCTGTTATGAGTCAGAGCTAAACCAATCTGTGACAGTAACTAAACATCATCTTCCTTCCACTTTGGTTTTACTTGACAATTTCAATGATGGTGAGGCAGTGTCATTCAAACTTGCCTTTTATGAGGGTTTAAGAACTTCCCTTAACCCAGTTCACATGCTGGTCACCTGTTCTCAAACTGCTGCCTGCTGACAGAGGACCATAACCTCAGCAGGGATTTCTAGCAATTTAAAGGGTCAGTCCCCCCAAATTCCAGGAAAAAAAAAAAAAAAAAACACAATTCACCTCCATTGTATTTGGGTGGTGGCAGAAATCTTAGCAGTGGATAAAACCAATAATAAAACAAAAAACAATCAATGTTTTACAAGAAGAGTTAGAAAAACCAATCATTCAATATGCTACACTTTAAGTTATAACAAAATGAAAAATCTTTTCTATCATTATTCTGAAAATAATAAATCTTTGGCTATGGAGTTGGTCATTGTGGAATTTAAAAGTGGACTATAAAAGCCCTGAATTAATGCATTTACTATTTAGTCTTTGAGTCAGTTTTGACTTCTTTGGTTGTGCCAATAATATATTGTACCTGCTTTCTTCCAGAAATGAAATAGTGCAGACTCTATAGATATTTCACGGTGGTGTTCCTTATAAATTTCTGTGATGTCTGTGACCTGTGAAATCCTGAGATGTTTGAGCAGGGGTTGAACTGAAATTCCAGGCCTCCCCAGTGTCTGTCCTCACAATCCACAGACAAAAG